CCTTATCTCTGACAACACGCGGAGGACAGAAGTAATCTCATCTCAATTTCAATTATCTACTAGCCGGGTAACCACTAGGGAATGCCCCCAGTGGTATGTGCCACCCTATAGTACTGGTCGCATGCGCATCACATCCTGACCTGGTCTACAGCAACCGCGCTTACTGGACTGCTATTTGAGGTACAATCGTCATCACTCGCTCAATAATATACTTAACACGTCAACTCATGATCACCATGACACAGAACCGCACCAACGCCACCGATCTCACCGTATATAGCAGCGGGCTGGGGTGCGTACTCCTAGTATAGCTCCTAGTAGACTCGACGATGGCTGACTTGACTCTGCAACCTTAGGCCATGGGTAACGTGCGCCCACACGCCATGAACACCCGTGAACAAGTCGACTGATTCTCCCTTCATCGTAGACTCGGAGCTCGTCTGGCCGAGCTCACGGGCAATGGGACGTTTCTCACCGCCGCGGAACAATCTATACAGTTCATGAACGCCCATATGATCAACGTGAACTCTGCCAGCGGCGTCATCTCCGATCGATTCAACGTGACTTCGTGCTCGGTGGTCGCTGGCGTACCGCCGTTAGCTTGGGACGTTGGGCCGTACATCGAGGGGCTGAGCATTGTAGCCAACATCACGCAGAACTCATCATATACCCAGATGTGCGTCATGTGTGGCTCAGTTCGTCCACTGGAATACAAGGCTCACAGTGTTCCTATGCCATAGGATCAATGACCTGGTCCCGGCGGTTGTCAACGTCCCAGTGTGGCACGATGGCAGCGGTGTGCTAGTTGAAGGTGAGTTGGAATAGTGGATGTTCCTCGACGTGATGTAAGCTGATGGCCCCCTCAGATACACAGTACTCTCTAAAGGGTGAGGTGCTCTGTTCTTATGACGATCATACCGGGCTAACGTACTCCTCAGGTACGATAATACGCGGCTTATTAGAAGCAAGGCTCAGAAATCCTTCGAATACTGGCCTAGTCGCTCTTATCGACGCATACATCACCGTCCAGGTTCGAGTCTCGTGCAATCTCTCAGGCGTGCTCGTTGACACTGACCCCAACTCTTTCTAGTACAACGCAATCATCAAGAGCGCGGCAATAGGCAATAACGATTACAAGCTCTCTTGGATCGGCAATGACACTGCTCAGTACACCACTCCTGCCAATTTAGCCGCATTGGACGCACTGAACGCCGCATACGTGATCGCACCTCCGTAAGCGGTCTATTCTTCGTTGCTTGAGTACAGCCTGCTCAACATGCCACAGTGGATCCGGGAACAATGCCACAAGCGCCGCCAACTCGCAGTCTAATCGCTCATCAAGTCACGTCGGTGCCATAGTCGGAGGCGTGATCGGTGGACTAGTTGCCGCTGCCATCCTCGTCCTCGCGTTATACCTCTACCTGCGCCGTCGGAGGCGGGCGCACGATCCAAGCAACGCTATTATCCCTTCGGGTCCCAGATCCGCCCTCGAACCCGATCCGTTCATTCAGGCAACACCCACTTCGCGAGTTCCGTTGACTGCGTCGACGGAGAAGGGAGGTTATCAGCATCGTTTGCCTCTCGTGCACGAGTTCCCCCATACCGGTAGCACCACCGACGGCTTGACGAGCCCGTCTACGGATGCTGTCACCGACACCACGTACTCGCAGACAAGACTCGGAGGCGGAGACCCTGACGCTCTGCAAGCGCTGGAGAGGAGCCGGATACTGGAACAACGGCTTGACAACTTGATTCACACGCTCGCCAATCAAGGAGAGACCGAAAGCAGCCCTCCGGAATACGACGGCAACGTCGCCCATCATGCCGCAGAACCCGAGCAACGCACATGACACCTGAATTGGACGAATATTCTAGCGGCCGTCTAGCCAGCCTAGCCGGACTGTCACTTTACAGGCGGTGGTAGACCGTAGACCCGAGGTTGCGAGGGTTGAAGTCGTGATATGATAGGCAGATACGAGGTGTTTTACAGGGGTTTTGGTATGGATCGTCCTGAGGATGATATTTGTATGGTTCAGCGTAGACTGCTGCCGCATAAGAACATGTCTTTTGTAGTAAGGGTGCATCGCCATAATCCAAGTACACGGCATGCCGTGGCTCACATTGATAGCATGGTTGTACACGAAGAGGCGGTCTGCGTATGTTTGCGTAGAGTTGGATCACCTCGAATGCAGCGGACTGCATTATATCAACGGAGCGTCTGTACAAGAGGACAACGAGCGGGAGAGTTTACCGCGCTTCGGACCGACCCGCCGGCCCGCTCGTCCACGGACCGTCGCCGCGGCCCAACTGGTTTGGTTCTCCCTTCATCGCTCGAGTGCTCCATCGTCGACTGCTCCCTTACTGCTCGAATGCACTTCTGAAAGTGCCGTACTCTAATTGATACTTAGGATGCGTATCGTACTCGGAGTCCATCATGTTGATACCCGCCACGAAATGAACTATCGGGCGGATGGGCTGGACCAAACGTCTGCTTGCTCCTGGTGGTCGTGCTGACGCGCGGCGGCACTCGAGTCGACGCACGGAGGTGACATGTCGGAGTGTCAGGTCGGGAGCAAATGGATATACTGGGTGCGTGCTAGTCATAGAGGACCCCGGCTACGTATGACCGTTGCTCATGCATCTTGCAGTAAATACGGCGCGGCAGCGGAGAAGAGAGACATGTAGTCGGCTTGGGTACTTGTACTACGTAGTGCTCTGAACCGGGTTCCCTCGAGTGGGCCTGCCCAACGTTCTTGACATACCCACGACCACTCCCCCCCGATGAAACCCATATTTGGCCGTATGACCCCCGACGCCTTCGATTACCAGTGGAAGTCACCTACCTAACCTGTTTCATGTCCGTGAGGTGTATCAAGACGGCGAGGAAGAATCGTGGCTTCAATACTTTGGTATCCATTCCGCGGTTATGCCATCAACGTAACAAACAATGGGACCGTCTCCCATGCCTCCTGTTAACGAGTCACCCCCCTGCAACACGTTAGACGGTGCTGCCAATCGTGGGTTTTCCCCGGTGATAGAGCAGAACACGCTCTTCCGTGGCGCCGTTCGGCTATCACAGTAGGAATCACTCGGTTCACCCTTCCACTGCTACGCACAGTCGTGTATCGCTGTTGACGCATTGGGGTTCGCGTGTGTCGCACGAGAAGCTTACACGTTCGGAAGCGCTCTTGATCCCCACTCATGCAGTCCAATGCGGGTGTCACATCATACAGTGGCGTCCCGTGACGCCGGAAAAGGTAAGATACCACACAGGAAAGGACAGATACTCGCATGAACCACAACACTGAACCTGCTTCTACAGTTGCCCGAATTCTTCTCAGCGTTAGCCCGAGCCAGCGACTGTTGTTCATCTTTTGATCCAAGGACAGCTCATCACTTGTACACCGCTTGTCGAAGTCTGCGCCGCGCGAATATCGGGATGTGTATCTGTATGCCTTCTCAACTTTGGCGAGCATATGCGCGTTCGATGAGCCATTGCTCTGCTACGCGAGTGGTATGCTTTACGCTTCAGAGCGTGCTCGCCACGCACAAGTCGGGATCCGCCAGCGCCTCACAGAGCGCAGGGAAGTCTGATGTGTTATAGGCGCTCCGAAAGCCAGGTAGACATGATGCGCTGACAACCCCTGTCGCGATATAAAGAGAACGTGCGTGTCATGTCGAGGTCTCGACACCGCCGCATTGATCCAGCTCTGACGGATTGCACTAGCCGCTGCCGCCATGCCTCGCTTCCCCTTCAGCGTGTCCGTCATCTTGCTACTCTTCATCTGCTCCATGCACACAGTACGCTCCCAGAGTTTCAACATTCCTTCCGGCTGGCAGGTGATTCGTTCGCTGCATAATTTGCTCGCGGTAACTGACTCTGGGTGCGCCACGTTGCAGAACACCAAGTCCAGCACGAGCTATGCAGTACGCTTAGATCTGGCTAGGGGAGCTGCTGGCGAAGTTCAATATTGGAGCGATCCTTCAACAGGGTTTCCGGACGGTATGAAATGACCCCTACGCACTCCAGCGGATCCAGGCTCATTCATCCGATGCGAAGACCATCAAGTCAACTCGACTGTGTCCAACGTGGCCATCGTGCTCGCCTCTCAGGACTTACTCAGCGGCAATAGCTCCTGGAAGGCACAAGTTGATCGCATACTATCATATTACGAGTCTGGCCTAGGCAATCTTAACAACATGGCGAGTCTCGCTCCATTGACGATATACCTAGACACACACTGATAGGCGTTCCATAGATCGACAACATCGATGCTGGGTAGGGCTTCTCGCTCTTCAAACTCGCGCCTAAGGTCTCTCTCATATGGATCCATGCACAGTTACTGGGGTCTGGCGGAAATCGCTGGCTACCTTGCTTACAACGATTCGGAGTCTCGTCTTCAATTCGCCCAGCGCAACTTCGACGCCTTGTATACTGATTTCATCAATGCCTCCGCCGCCCAGGCTCAGTTGTATTCACGTACGTTGGTTACGAGCTGTCCGCCAGGTTAGTCGCCGAAGGATATTCATTCCACCATACTCGAGAGATTACTGAATGCCCTTCACCAGGGACGCTAGAGGGTCTACTATTCGCTGTACGCTCTCTGATACATACCTGACCGTACATGGTGCTCATCCAAACGTCTATCTGTCTAGGAACACTCGGATCGTGCGTCCTTGGTGGTAATCAGTAGCTCAATAGGGTGGGCACCATTTGTATCCCGCCCCCGCGTCTGACCACTGAGGTTTGTGTAGGCCTTGGATAGCGTGCGGGATATCTATTTCTCCAATCACTCAGCAAGCTCTGATGTCGCTCGGCCAGACTGTCTGCTCGCCTATACGAACTTACCCAGAATGCGACATATCTCGAGGCGGCCGCACAGTCGATTCAATTTATGGATTCATACATGGTCAAGCCAACTGGTTCGAATGTCTCCATCTCGACCACATTCAACATTACGTCTTGTGCTCCTGATCAGGCGGCTGGGACCGTAGATAATGTCGGCCTTTACATTGAAGGCCTGAGCGTTTTGGCCAACGTCACCGGGAATCAGACCTACACCCAGTTGTGTGTAGCACAAGGGCCCTTACATTCTATGACCGTTGCATGCTGACATACATATATATCCGCAGGCTTGAAGAACTTGTGCCCGCTATCACATCATTTCGCCCTTGGCACACCGATGACGGGATCTTGACAGACGGTAAGTCTTCGACTGGTTGGCACTGCCCGTTCGTTATTAAATGACGCTGCTGGTACCCCTGCATCTAGATGCCACGTATGTGTCTAAGGGTGAGCTCATTCTACATGTCATACGGGTATGCTCATCATACTGTGGTAGGGACACTGATCCGTGGACTCCTCGAGGCCAGATTGAGAAATCCAGGCAATAGTACTGAATTCATTGATCTCATTGATAGTTACCTCACAATCCAGGTGCGCATGCTGCCATTTGACCACGAATTTGTTGCAGCGTTAGTTCTGAATGCATGTTGTTTCTCTAGTTTAATGCCGTACAAACTAATGCAAAGTCGGCGAATGGCAAGGACTACAGCAACTCGTGGAACCTCGTTGATGGTAGTTCTTCTCAGTACAGTACGGTAGCAAGTGTGCAGGCATTGGATGTGCTGAATGCCGCCCTCGCGATAGCTCCTCGGTACGTACCCACTGACACTTGGCGATGTTTGACTCAACGTATGCCTCGTCAGAGCTTTCCATAGTCCGATTTCACCACACAGACATATCCAAGTAGGGGTCATTGTGGGAGCTGCCGTGGGAGGCATTGTGGCGGCCCTGCTTGTCGTTTTAGGTGGCATCTATCACCATCGTCGAAGGAACGCACGGAAGCGTCTTATCCGCGACGATAAAGTCGACATCACGCAAGAGCCTTCTTTGCCAGTCAAAGCAGAGATGCTCACCGAACCTTTCGTTATGCCTACGTCAGACCCACACAACGCACCGGTGTCAGATTCCTCGGCGAAGAAGGATGCTCCGATTGTACTTGAGTATCGGGACGTGTCATACAACGGCACCCCAGCGCGCCCTTCGCCTGAGGCCGCCAGCACCTCGATGACACCAGCTAGATCAACTGGAAGCGATCATGGTGCCGTATATGCGTTGGAGAGGAGGCTCGACAACCTGATTCATGCGTTGGCCATCCGAGGAGAAACAGAGGAAACTCCCCCAGTATATGAAGGTGTCGATCCCACCGCTGGTTCGTACTGTTCGGGTTGTTGTATGTGATACTCCAGATCTCTGACAATCAAACAGGACACGCCGGTTAGGTGTCTTAGGCCTCTGTCATTCGATGCGCCGACGGTCACGTTGAAGTACTAGCATACATATCATATTGGACATCTTTCTCTTAGATGATAGCTTTCGCGAATCAGGATGTATCGGACACTGGATAGGGGCTTGTGCTGGTGCCTGTATCATCTTCCATATTTCAGTACATATGACGCGAGCAAGGACATCGAGATACGGTTGAGCCTAAACGCAAAGCGCGGAATCAACCATCACAGTGGATTGTTCACGGTCAGTCGTGCCGCATACAGAAGATCGCGCGCGTGAACAGCGGCGAAGGTTATCATATCAGCCTCACAGATATAGAATACGCGGAAGGCGAGAGTGAAGGGGGAGGACGGAATGTAGAGGACAGTGATCAGACCGAGCCTACACGCTATGCTATGCTTTCGCTCTATGCCGCTTAGCCACAGCTTTGACCTCGGGCTTGCCAGTAGCCTCTACCTTCGCCTTCTTATGCACCTTCACAGGGCTTTCGCTGCTCTCCTGCGCGGGTGCCTTTCTCCTCTTCACCTCGGGTACTGAGTTGGGTACCGCCGAGGCTGGCGCCACAGCTGGCGTCTCAGCCGCGTCTCTCGCCTTGCCTGTGGCCTTTCGCTTGACCTCCGTTTTCGCGGCCTTTAACGTATTCTCATCTCCCCTCGAAGGTTTGCGGTCAAGCGCCGAGACTGCAGTGTGCTTCTCAACTTTTCTTACCTTCGCCTTCCTCCCCTTCGTGGACGTATCTTGAGCATTCTCCGTCTCCGTTTCCCGCTTGCGCTTCCTTGACTCGCCACTTTTGGATTCAGCGCCCTTCTCCGTCCTGGCCTTGCCCTTCAACGCGTTCGAAACCTGAGTCTTGGAACCATCCTTTGCCTTTGCTTCATCAACATGGCCATCATCCGCACCATCGTCACTGCCGTCCTCCTTGGCCTCCGCCTCGCGCTTTTTCGCCGCCTTCCTCGCCTTCATTTCCTTCACCATCGTCCGCTTAGCCGCGATCTGCTGCTGTTTCTTGATCTGCGCCCTCGTCAGTTCGCTGTTCGCACAGAGAACCAGGAGATCAAGAACGTACGCGTTTCAATGCACGCTTTGACAGGTCTTGCTCGCCTTCCTTCGTTCCCGCAGCTTTCACTTCAACCTCCTCCGCGGCAGCGACTTTCGGATTTGACGCAGCAACAGTGCGAGCATTTATCTGGTTGAGCAAGATACGAATGTCTGTGTCGGGTGAAAGAGACATAGCAAGGTCATTAGCCTTCTCTATCCTCCGTTTATGTGCCTGAACATAGCATACGCATGAACATTCAATACATTAATACATGTGAACGCTAAGCGTACTTTTGAGTCTAGATGTACGCGAATCATCATCTCATGCTTGAGTATTGCGCTAGGACAGAATACACATGTCGAATGATCGCCATTGGAGATTGCGCGTACAGGCTTCAGCAACGCTTCGCCGACAGATATCGTGGGCTCCTCATCAGATGCATCTTCTTCCTCGCTGCCTTCGTCGTCCTCGTCCTCTTCGCTGCCTTCATCATCGTCTTCGCCGCCAACCTCTTCGTCTCCTTCGACAGCTTCGCTTCCATTTTCGGACCCATCATCGTCCTCATCTTCAGAAGACGCAGATTCGTCCGAGTCGGTGTCGTTGAACCCCATAGCCTCCTTCATCTCTTCATCAATCCCTAGCTCTTCCTCTTCTTCCTTCCTTTTCCTGCGCTTATCGACGCGTTTGAACATGTCTCCCAATTGAGCAAAGAGGTAATTGAAACGAAAACCGAGGTGGCAAGATGAGCGCGAGAGGCAAGAAATGTAATTCTCGGAAAATCGGCGCGGGGTCCCGTGAGATCTTCGCGAACGCCAGCGCGTCCTGAGACGCGTCTCTCCTTCCTCCCGACCCCGATGCAGGCGTCGAGCTCCAGATGTACGGCTAACGCTCTCCGTTCCTCTACTTTAATATCACGTGCTCCTACTCTCTCTCGACACCGGTCTACCACCAGCAACGGCAGCACATCATGGCCATCCAAATCTACTTCGGCATCTTCCGACGCGCCGTCCTCGGGCGCTAAGGGCCAAGAGAGGCGTCCGCGCGACTTCCGCAACGCTAGACCAAAGACTGGGCCGAAGCGTGCGAATACTCAGCGCGGCGAGCACATCGTTGGCCTCTCTCTCGCGGGCCGGCCGCGTCCTGCTCGCGACGCGCGCGGTCGTCACATCGCCGCTGCCGTTCAGGAGTTGAGCTATATCCAGGATATTCTCCAGGCGCCTCCGTGGTCCAAGCACGTGCCAGCCGAGTTTGATACGGCTCAACTGGATGTGGAGGGTGACGACGGAGAGGATGTAGCGAAGAGAGTTGGTTATCAGGTGGACCCAGGATGTATGATTGAGATCACCGGGTATGCAGTCTTCTTTGGTTCTTATATTATGAAATATATTAACAATATCGACTAGTATTGAGCCCACGTTGGCCGTTGTGATCAAGCACATACATGACGAAAAGGGCATGCGCACAGTGTACTTGGACCAGATGGGTTCAATACATTTCCAGTCGCTTGCCGGCATAACGTTCGTCTACCCGTCCTTCATCGACTCGGCCGCGGTGTCACGTATCGGCGCGAGCGTTGCTCCCACAAGTCGCAATGAGCTTCTGGCGCGCGTGGCCATCGTACGGAAGATGCGAGACTTTGCACGAGCACGCGAAAACGTTGCTCATGGACTCGCGCTGCCAATGGCAGGAATCTACGAAAGCGTTGCACCGAAGGACCCGGAGGAGTGGGGAGAGATCTCGACGATTGATGCGTTGAAGGCCATGGACCTCAACTGGAAGAATAAACTCTTGGAGTTCGCGACGCAGCGGTTGTTGCTCGAGCGAGATGCCGAGTTCATCCCGCACCAAACCGCTTTTCTGGCTTCGCATACGTTCCACGTGCGCCCGCGCGCACAGGTTGAGCGGCTACGCAAGCTCCGGGCGCGCGTTCTGGAGGACCCTCAACTCTGGGAGAAGTTCGGTGCTCGCGCACGACGAGTCATCAAGATGCTCCGCCAACGAAGCGCAGGCTCGGAGAACGAGCCACCGACGCGAAAGGACGCGAAAGATATCACCTGGACTGAAGACGACGAACTTATCATCGGTGTTCTTCTTGACTCTCTCCACATTCAGCGGTACGAGGTCACGAAGTCCTACCAAGACATCCGTTGTGCGGCCGTTAAAGCCGTCGATTTCTCAGGGCCTGGGTGGAGCGGCCATGGCGCTATCGGTCTGGACGAACATCGACAACTCCTTGTTGATCTTGGTGTACTCGCACCCTGGCAAGACACGGTGTCCAGGAGATGGGACGTCGTGACGCGCGACGCGGGTGGGCGGCCCGGCGCTCGTGATGGACTGGCGGCCACTATCCCACGGCCCGCGCGTAGGAGCAAACTCTCGCCTGAGAAGTTGTATGCTCAGGACCCCAGTGCGGCAGTGCGCCACGACTTTGGCGACACACCCGTCTATGTCATAGACGACTATGGCGCACAGGAGTTGGATGACGGGCTAAGCATCGAGAGGGACGCAGAGAAGAAAGACCATCTCTGGTTGCATGTGCATATCGCCGACCCGACGCAACTCATCCACCCTGATCATGTATACGCGAGGGCGGCTGCGAGAGTTGAGACGTCGCTATACTTCCATACGCGCATGCAACCTCTCCTGCCCGCGTCGTTCCTCGAACAGCATCCTGTCTCCCTTGGCTCAGGGAATGGAGGGCCCGAGAACACCCTGACATTCTCCGCGCTGATCTCACCGGAGGGCAATATCGTGGACCATACTGTGCGCGCTGGGACGATACGCAATGTGCAGACGCTACGGTACGACGACGTCGACGCCGTCATGGGCTGGACCAATCCGTCAACAGCCCCCACCTATCCATTCGGTCGCCCAGAAACGCAAGACGTCTCCTCGCCACTCGAGCTCAGCCCGCGCGCCCGCGACGACCTTTCCCTCCTGCACGAAATGGAAGCGCGGATGGGGCTCGCACGTACTCGATCACCAACATTTGATGCGTATCCTCCCGGTGTGAACATCCGCGTCTCGCCATCTCCGCTTCCGCCGAGCGCCGAGTACACCAAACATCCTGCCATCTTCCGTGGATTCCCTACCACGACATGGGTGACGGGAGGTACAGGAGGTGGATCGAGTGCTGATGCGCGGGGCGTCATCGCAGCTGCTGCGAAGATCGCTTGCACCGTTTCGTCACTGTTCGCCACAGCTCGAGATATCCCTCTCGTTCGTCGTGCGCTGAAGCCACCACGCGAGCGCAATCCGGGCGACATCACTCGTCTGCTTGCTATGCGCGACAACCGTGGATCTATACCCTGGAAGGAGTTCTATACTTCTGGGACGGTGTTCAGGCCCGCATACGCCACGCTTTCTCCCGATGCGCATTTCACTCTCGGTATACCGCAGGGTACGGGCTACGCGCGAGTGACGAGTCCGTTGAGGCGATACGAGGATATGCTTGCGCATTGGCAGCTCAAGCACGCGCTACTCCGTCCGGGGGCTAAACCGCTCTTCAGCAAGCAGGACCTGCAGATGACAATCGATCATCCTTCTTCGTTACTGGCCGCACGCAACGCGGATAGGCTGCATGACCGCGAATGGAGTGCGATGTTGGTGCACCGCTACATGCAGGCGCACCCACAACTCGTAGGAGGCGACGGCGATGGACCATTGCAGAGTCTCGATGCGGTTGTGACGAGCTCTAGAGGGTCGGACATGCCGGGCTGGAGTAGGGTCAAAGCGCTTGTGCCCAAGCTGGGCATTGAGGTGGCGATCATGTTGATGGAGGTGGACGGGGACGAAAGGGACCTGCCGCTTGGGAGTACGTGGAGGGTAGATGTCGTTGGCGTGGATATAGCTGGACGTGGGCGGGTTAGGGTTGCGTTGCGGGGCGAGAAGGGAGTCTAGAAGAGAGCATGGATAGCGGTTGCTTATTTTACATCGTATAATCACGGGGATATACATTGCACACTCCACCTCCCATCCGAGCGGACACGGTCCGTCGTTTGCGCGGTAAAGTATGATCATTGCATTCAATAGACAAAGTCATAAGGGGTTGAGATACGGTATCACTAATCGAACATCAAGATAAGCGGCCCGGGTATTACAAGTGGTGCTAGCATATTCTGGCACAGCAATCGCTCATACTTGCCATCCGATCCAGGCTCCACATCTAACGCCAGCTCTAGAGCGTGTATCGGAACGTGCGTCTCGAGACGGGACGCCAGTAAGGTAGCGAGCCGACGGATATGCTCCGCGCTGAAACAGGACGACGTGCTCCACAAAGCTAGAGACTGCACCTTTGGATGAAGTAGCACCCCGGACGGATGCGATGAGAGCAATTCTGTCCCTTCTGATGCCTCTTGCAGGAAGTCGTGATGTATCTCGAGTACAACAAGCACCTCGAGAGAAGGAAACAGAGTCAGAAGCGTCCGAGGTGCGTCCTCTAGTGCATCCAGGATATCTTGCGAGGTCTCCAAAGACCTGACTTGCGAAAGGCCATAAGCAACGACGAAGCGTGGTATACTCTGCTGTATGTCCGATGCGTCCCAGTCGTCCGGATATGCCGTGAAATCCAAGATGGATCTATGTGCAAAGGCCTCCTCTTGAGGATAATTGGGGTATTGGGAGAAGCGATCGCGCGGACCCTGTTGAGGTACCATCAAATTGAACGACAGTCCACTTATAGCGTCGGAGCCTTGTATCTCGAGCCTTGTAGTGAGCGCCGGGTTCGACGACAGTATGCGGGATGTATGTGATGCAAAGGTGAGGGATCCTTCGATGTGACTGATGAGATTCCCTGGTGAATTCGGGGGCACCAAAAGGTCAAGCTCGAGTGTGGTAGAAGTAGGCACGTCGATGATTGACCACAGAGATAGTATGCGGTCGCGTGCGTCGCCGATGGATAGAGATCGGAGTGCGGGCAACTGAATGCGGCTTGGGCGACGGAAGCCATCAGACGAGCCGAGTTCAGGCATATAGCAAGAAAGGACTAGGTCCTGGAGGTTGACGCAGCGACGGAGGATGTCCACAAATTGTCCGGCTGTGAGTAAATCGGGATTTCCGGTAGAAAATGGTCCTTTGAGTGATAATGAGGTCAACGACGATGCCTCAAATGGTAGGAATACGCAGAAAAGGGAGAGCGAGCGGAGTTTTGGGAAGCGAACAGCAGATGGATGGTATGCGTGCGGCCCCGACGCTTGGGATGCAAACGCCCCACTTTCAGGTTGCGGATCCATTTCCATGTGATACGCAGAGATATCGAGTATTTCCAGATGCGGAAAGATACCAGTAGAGAGGTGGTCCGTGATGGCGCGCATTGAATACCCATATGTATCGGTTGCATGAATGGCGCGAGCCCGTTCCAGGTACTGCGAGGCGAGATCATTCGTCGCTAACAATGAGTTGCAGTGGCCGATGTTGAGCTTGACGGGTGCGTTCCGAGCCCGTTCGAGTAATGATGAGAATGCGGAGGGGGTTCGGGCGTAAGCCACAGAATCTCCCCAGAATGTGTGTGAAGAAAGAAGTATGGTGCGAAAGCGATGGGAGACGCGACCAAGATACATCCATCGTAGTGAGCTACGGGTCTCGTATTCGGCTTCATCCTCATCCTCAAATGGCTGAATGGAATCAGCGATGATGAGGTGCAGGATCTCTGGAGGTAGACGGATTATAGGCGACCGAGCGATATTGAGGTGCCGTTTGAAGTGAGCCAGTACGGTTTTCAAGGAGGCAATGTCGGAGATGAGGCTTTGTTCTATGTGTTCCGAATGCCCATGAGAAAGTTCCGAGGTATGCAAGCTCTCAAAGGACCGGAGACGCTGAGCCACCGTGCCCGCGATGAGAGAGCATCTGTGATATAGAGCACAATGTCAGCAATATGGAATGAGAGACGGTGTCTGTGACGCACATTGTATCATTCATGTTGAGAACTGTCTGTTCTTGCTGTAGAGAGTTACTGGGGTCGAAAGTCTGATCGTGGTGGGAGCCAAATACTCGCGGCCACGGATCATTCAGGTCATAGACCGGAAGTCACACGTGGCAGCGGATCACCGCGATGCGTTCGCCCCGAACTCAGCCTGGTGCGGCGTCCACAGCTTGAACCCGAACGCCCACCTACACCCATGGCGTCAATCGCTCCCGTATGGATAATGCTCATCGTAGCGCTCGGCCTCATCGCCGCTGGTTGGTTCTTACCGCGAAAGGGTCCTAACCAGACGTGCGTCTACCCTTCTGGTCATACTTGGTCGTGGTGCTTATTCGTCATATAACCCAGGCTTGTGCGGTCGAGCTTGATGCTCACGTTTGCGTGCTGCTATCTCATGTGGATGATTGCGTACATGGCTCAATTGCATCCCATTCTCTGTGCGTGTTTCTCAACGTAATTCACTGTGGCTCTGTGCTCACCTGAACTACAGCACCGCGGGTGAACCTGAAGAACCAAGAATGAGGGTCTAGAGGAGTACCGGTTTCGACAGGTAGCATTATATATACCAGTGCGTATTATTCGACTGGGTGTATTCGGCCATACGCTAACATCATCCCTCTAGTTGTCTCCTTGCATATGGACTTTCACTTGCTAATTGAGGATTCGTTGCACGCATTGTCTTCTGGGTGTTAGAGTTGCTCGTAATTCGCATCAGTGGTATCCCAACCGCCCCAACCGCCTTCACTCTTACTACCCCAGCCACCTTCACTCNCTCCCACCCATTATGTGTACTACTGACTTCAGCAGCCCCCCATGCGCTAACCTCTCCGTCGGCAGCCACATTCGTGTCATCATCTCCCACCAAACCGCTTTCCTCAACGTCTTCGTCGTATTCTTCGTACTCATCACTCTGCTCAGGATCCAAGTGCTCCTGAACTTCCACGACAGGCTCCTCCCAGTTTTTAGCCAACTCGCCCTCCTCTCCAAGCAACGTTATTTCCCACCGTTGTGCATCCAGGATATCTTTGTCGATACGGAACCTGGGGTCCGCGTCCAGAGCTTCGACAAGCGCGACGCGACTGCCTCCACATACTGTCGCCGTCTCACTCCAAATCTCGCACAGACGCGCGCTAGCCGACCGACGCTCTCGAATTGCCTGCCTTGCGGAGTCCGCTATCTCCTCATGAGACCGGGGCTTACCGCCCTGCTCATGCGCAACATGCTCAATCGCCTCGACTTGCTCGTGTGGGGCCTCCTCTGCCATTTCAGCACCTTCACCCTGGCACCACGCCGCCCACGCCGTTTTCCGGCGCGCATCCGCTTCTTCACCTTTCCGCCTTCGGAACTCTACCACAAGACTGGCCCTTCCGCCCGCATCGTTGTCGTCATCGATAGTCCTTCCCCATGGGTCGGTCACGGTAGCAATGCCCACCCCGCCGAGCTTGAAGTCGTATCCCCACGCTTCGCCTACAGCAGTACACCACTCCTTCGCCTCAGCCGGCGTCCATTCGAACTGGTGGTCGTCGTGCCGCATGCGCCTGCCAGGCTGTGTCGGTGAAGGCCAGCCCCACGTCAACCATGGGTCTTCTCGCCCAGGTGTAGAAGGTGGAGGTGGAATGAAGAGTCGGTTGAACGAGTACGAAGGCGTCGTGAGGAGTAGAAGACGCGGAGCATAGCATCCGAGGAGTACGGGCGCGAAGGCGGCAAAGGCGCCAGGAGGGAGATGCTCGATAACTTCGCTCGCGACGATACATTCTATTCCTTTGAACTCGTCGTTTACTTTCTGCAAACCTCCACGCCACAAGCTCGCGCTCAGCGGTTCCCATCTAGGCAGTGAATAGGGGCTCGGTGGTGTGGGTTGAATAGCGCCTTTTGCGTAATCCAGTGATTCCGCTGAGATATCTAAGCCATGTAGAGTGCGAACGTGAGCGTAAACGAAACCCGGTAGAGTATCGGGCAGCCAGTAAGCAGGGTTCGATAGAGACCAGAGGAGCGATCCTTCGCCACAGCCCACGTCTAGCAGTGATGTTACGCGTTCTTCGCGGATGTGCGTCAGAAGCCAAAGCTTGCGCTGTTCAGATAGGATAGGGAAGAATGAGACACGGTGTTCGATGATCGGTTCGTCCTCGGACACGATGACAGTGGGCGGGTCCTCCGGGACTCTGTTCCGTACGTTGTCCGGCGAACCCTCCATGATGGGCGGAAGTAAGGATCGTACCTCAGCGCCATCGATGGACTTCACCGCCAGGACCACGCGAGGCAAGACGCCTTTCTCGGACCAGTGTCTGACGCTCACGGACGTCGGGCGCTTGTACCGTGCCACGAGGCGTCCAGACGCTGCAGCAAACACATAGCTACACCTGGCGCCAGCGGGCACGGCTTTCACAAACTTCACGCATTTATCTTTGTGTTTGTGGTTATCCTTCATTACCCTAGAGTGTATAATTTTGTAACAAGTCGTCTAGCAGGGTATATACAGTCCGGTCATCGAGCATCCTACAGCTCGCTCTCCTGCTGGCGACGGCGGTAGTAGATCTGGCGGGGTGTCTTGGGCATCGTGATCATCGTCTGTATCATCAGTCAGTATCGCCATCCTGGGCAAAGTATCGAAGGAGTAAGACATACGTGGTAGTTGGGGCCAGGGAACGGCGTCGGCAGCTTCATCTCGATTCTCCTTACAAGCGTCGTGATGAGCGCGCCAAGCTGCAAGTACGCGAACTGCTCTCCGATGCAGCGATGACGGCCAGCGCCGAAAGGCTGGTACGGGCTGTCGGTACCCTTCGACACCGCACCGAACCCGTAGTCGACCTTCTCGCCGTTCTCGTCCGTGTAGAGCTTGAATGCCGCCGCAGCCTCGCCAGCCTCGTCGTTCCAGCGCTCAGGGAGCCAGCGGTCAGCATCGCGCCAGAGCGTAGGGTCGACCTGGGAGATTGCGGGCGAAGCCATGACGTAGTGGCCGGCGGGTACGACGTAGGTACCGTCCTGGGAAGGCGCGGAGAGCGTGGGCGGGACGGGCATGTCGTGGCGAACCTTGCGCATGATGCTGTGGATCGGAGGGTGCATGCGGAGCGTCTCGCGGATGACACTGTCGAGAACAGGGAGAGCCTTGAGTTCCTCATAGGTAGGCGTGCGCATGCGGCCGTCAGATCCGCCGAAGTACTTGACCTGTTCAGCGTAGAGCGCTTCTTGGATGTCGGGGCGCTCGGCGATGTGAAGCAGGGTCCAGGCGCCGGTGGTCGAAGAGGTGTGTTGGCCGGCCATGAGAAGCGCAATCATGATGTGTGCGATTTCGTGGTCGGGAAGAGGGCGGCCACCGCGGTAAGTCTGGGTCATGAGAGCCGAAATCATGTCCGTGCCGTCCTCCTGTGCGTCTTGTCAGTCGCAAGTTAGAATGATAGACCTCATGAGAGCTTACCGAAGTGATACCCTCCCGGCGCTTGCGAATGATGTCGACGTAGAAATCGCTCATCTTCTTCTGGGCGGCGTCACGCTTGCGGTAGCTGGGCAGAGGGAGGTTCGGGATAGTGAAGTGCAGCGGGGTGAATCCACCATCGAGGTCGGAGAACGTCTGAGCGAAACCCTTGTCAAGACCCTCACGGACCTCCTGGCCCTGAAGCGTACGACTGGCTGTGAGAATGGTAATTTCCGCGGTGACCTTGAGAGGGTCGAAGTTTCCCCACTCGTTAACGTCGTCCTGCTGGTATGTCGTGAACTGCGAGTCCTTCGCCAGGAACTGGATGACCTCGTTCTCAATCATGGGCACGTAGGCGCGGAAGTTCTCCGTCGTGAGGCCGACCTTGACGAATTTCTTCTGCTCCATAAAGCGCTCGTTCGGGATATCGTAGACGACGTCCTTGCCGAAAACGGGTGTGGTGAGATGCTAGACGCCCGAGTGTGAGAATGTGGCTCGCGGGCGCGGAAAGTTGAACACGCACCGTGTACGCGTCCTCTGCGGACAGGTACTGCGTCTTGCCGCCCAGAATGAAGTTGTTGCCTTTGGAGCCGAGTGCGACGGTCATCTTACGGCCGAGCATGGTGAACGTGAAGACATCGCCGTACTGTGATACTCTCTTCAGTACTAGAGCGGCACGTGCGGCGAATCAAATATACCTTCTTCTTGCAGTCGAAGAAGAACTTGATTGGGTCGTCACCATATGATGCAGCGCTGCCGAAGTAGGGGATGATATGAAAGACCTCTGGCGGCAGGCTCTTGTCCCGCGGAAGTATCTATCACAGCGTCAACATCCTGAATCGATGGATTGGTATAAATCGCGTACTGTTTGCCGGAGAACATTAAACACCACGGCGAGGATAGGCAAGTTGATCAACGCCAGCAACGCAAGGCGACTGTACGTCTGAGGCAAGTATTTCTGTGCCTCGGAGACGAAACCCGTCCACGCATCTGGCGCGGGCACGGGTACACCGAACACACTCGTCCCGTTGAAAGCCATTATAATCCCAAGTGAAGAAAAGGGGAAGGAACAGCAAGCTAAGGAGACGTCAGAGAGCAGCGGCCTATTAAAGCACCGATGAAGGCTCTTGACAACCTGCGATTCTGGCGCCAGCGAACCGTGTCGCGCGGATATACGGCACCACGCCCAAATCGTGCGATTGCGCAAATTCGTGTTCTGGCTCCGCTGCTAACCACTCTCGGCCCGCGTCGCCCGTCATCTGGCCCAGCAGAGAGCACACATCAGTATGTAAATAAAATGGCGCGTTCCGCGCGCGGTGGCGGCTTGAGGCCAACTGGCGGGATGGGCGTACTGAAGTTGATTACGCCTCCGGGCCGAACTTCCGACTCGCGTTGTGGCGTATGTTAGTTCATGTTCAATACAGTCTCTCACCTACGGCCTCCCTCTCTGTCGCCTCTGCGCATCATAGGTAGCTGAACGGCGAAGTACAGGCCTGCTGAGTACCACTGTACCATACGTTCGGCGTGTGCCAGGCGCCCGACGCGAGGCTGGAGTACGACACGCCTCTCCTCCGCCCATCATCATCAATGGAACGACCCTACGACAGATGCCACATTCTCGTGCAGCTCTTCAACTCAACCGTCCCGACGCAGGGCTATAAAGAGCAAGACCCTCGGGCCATACTGTCACCAACGATGCGCGCATGACGAGATTCTCTTTGATCATACGTTCCAGCCAAGTGGATTCGTGCACATAGTCGGGCCTCCTCCGCCGTGTCACTGCGATCGGGCTATAGCTATGATCGTACCACATCGTCTACGTACGAAGAAGAACCATATCATACTACAATGCTGTATACAGCTTCTCGCACCTAATCGTACTCACGGTTACTCGGCCTTGCGACTGCCTGATAGGATTCGCGTGGACTTGTAACACGTATACCTGGGAGATGATTTTGACATTCAGAGTCCGGGTCCCCTCTCCAGCACTTCTCTGCCACAGAGGTCTCTATGCCGAACTGAGCCCCTAGCTCAACAGTACGCTTCAGATGCGACTACTTGCAGTTGCGAGCTTTTCATGTACGAGCTCTTCACCACGCACCCACATTCAACTTTATCACTAACGTATCAGATTTAGTGCGAACACGTTCTCCGACACCGTTTGGGTGTAGGGTACGTCTCCCGATTCTATGGTCGTCGACCGTTGCATTCCGAAAGCTGCACGAGTGCCCTGATCTATGAACTGCGGAGCAAACATGCGAAAGACCAGAGCCACATGCTGTATATGGCCTCTTCGCTCTTCACGGCGACCACAGATGTATAAGAAGAGCATCCAAGGCAGTAGTGGATGCGATGCACAAGTCGTCGCCACCTAGTCTTCCTGCTACCAGATGCCTGCCGCTCTCGATCCGACATATCCTTTACACCCCATCGGCTGCCTTTTGGCCGCTCTCATGCTCTTATGCGTGATGCTAACCAGCTTCATCCGCCAAAAGTGGAACCGCGGCGTCGCCTTCTTATGTTTCTGGCTATTCTTCGAGAACCTCACGTTAGGGATCGACGGAATCATATGGGCGGACAACGCGGATGTCAAGCTCTATGTCTACTGTGACATTGGTGAGCCCGTCTAATTGTCAATCACGGCCGAGTACAGATGTACTGATTGGGCTGTGGCTGACTTTGCAGTTTCTCACGTGCAACTCATTGCATACGTAGTCAAGCCTATGGCGATCTTGATCATCACACGTCGGCTCTACTTGATGACGAGGCTACAACCAGTGCGGCTCCCAGGAAGTAGCGCTGTATGCGATGAACATATGCCTCTAGCTACTCTGGCACTGCTGACCATAATATCGTCGCAGGAGCGTTGGGATCTCTTGTTTGAATGGCTGTTGGGTGTGGTGATTCCCATCGTCGTCGCGGGTCCACTCTGTAAGTCCTTCTTTTCTTGCGATCAGTCGACGATCTCTCTGACCCATGCCAAGACTACATCGTACAAGCGCTTCGGTTCAAGATAACCGGGGGTTATGGATGCCAGGACGTCGTTGACATCTCCGTACTCGGGATACTACTCGTCCATTCTTGGGCCCTCACCCCGTCCTTGATATCGATCTGCTTCTATTACCGTGAGTTTTTGCCCCTCGCCACTGGGCTTCAGAAGCAGCTCAGCGGATATGGATACAGCGCGAGCTGTGCTAGCGCTCTACCGTCACGGTCGTGACAGAAATCGATTCCTCCAGAACAGCGACTCGACCTCCCGCATCAACTACATCCGCATCCTCATCCTCGCCAGCCTCGATATCCTCCTCACCTTCCCCATAGGCATCACGACAATCGTATTCACCATCGGTAACTATCTCTCGCTTGGCCCATTACCATTCTACTCGGGCTGGACGTACGTGCATATGGAGTGGGAGCCCGAAGGCAACATCTTACCGCCAACTGCGACGGGGCCCTTTGGGGTACTTGACGCTGTACCGTATTACTTCAATCAGTGGACATCGCCTGTGTTGGCGTATGTCATATTCGCACTGTTTGGTGTTACGTCGGAGGCTCGCGCGTCGTACTGGCAGCTTGTCGACGTCGTCGGCGGGCGCTTGGGTCTGTCTGCTTCGCTGTTCGGGAAGATGGGGGATCGCGCAGAGGATATGTCATTCCATGCGAAGACAGGGTACGCACACCATCTGAGTGCGTGAACCTCGCTGACGGGTAGTCAGAGAGCTACCAAGCTTTGTTGACGCAGACATTCATTTAGCAGAGCAAGGTGTACAGAGGGAAAGCGAGAGTGCGCAGGATAGGCTTGAGGATGGACGTGAAAGCTCGACCGTTCCCGAGTAACCAGTGAACACGGATATGCTATTGACTTGTAAAATGTCTTGATGTATACATAGGGTATCTCTAAATGGTGTTCCAACAGTGTTCGAAGGACAGTAAGGGGTAATCAAGACACTCGGGGTTCAGCATTGGGCGTGGAGTCACGCTGTTCGATCGCCACTTCCGCGCTTAACCTCGATATTTCAGAGAACGCTACCCTCAGCAGGTCTAGATCGCCATCTAAGGACTCCGCCCTGGTCTTCATCTACGCGAAAATGAGTGACGTAATGAGAGGGCACGATTCGGCGTACCGCAGAAATCGTATCCGTCGCAGCGATGAGTTCATGATGATGGTTATACACGAGGGATTGCCGTTCACTGTCGAGTTGTCGCATATCTGCAGTGTCGTCAGCGGTATGCTCAGAGAGACGGACTGGTGCGTACGCGTACCTGTCAGTAGCTCATTCTCTTTCTTGAGTAAGGCGGTCAGTGAAGAGGTCGTGATGAGCTGCTCGTAGTATGCCTTGGGATCAAACGCGGGCGAGTCTGGTCACACCGGCCCGACTCAGCAAGCAATCCCGTCCATCACAGTAGCACCGCACAAACCGAGGTCCATGGGGTCCATAGGCCGTCCACTTGGCGTCGGAGGATGTATACCAAGTCCATAGTGCTTCCTCAGTAAATCCCGTGCTCTGGACTTTGTGCCAGCTGGTGGGGAAGTAGTGCCATGTAATGGTGGATTGGGATTGGACGGACGCCTTGCAGTTGTCGGAGTGGAAGGTCCAGAAGGCAAGAGCGTATTGGATAGCGGGGAAGGAGACGAAGGACCCGGCGAGAGGGCTCGCCGCGGATTAGACGGCAGCCGGGTGAACGACTGTGACCTCTTGGGCGTCTGCGGTGGAGAGGAAGCGGCAGACGACATGAGCTTGGTTAACAGAGAAGATGATGGCGAGTGGCAGGTGCGAGCGATGTCAGGATGTCGGCTGTGTCTATCAATAATCAGACGCTGCGGACATTGCCGACGGGCGAGATGTCGAGGCACAGTCCCCGCGCTGATGCCCCTACAACTCTCCACCACCTGCTCATTTCTGGCCCTTTTATTCATCTGCTCGTCTCTCCTTCTCTTTCTCCGTCTATCGAACCATACAATCTAATCTGAAATATACTCTGACCATGGCACCGCCGCGGTATGCGCCCCTGCCGAACCCGCGGACGACGGAAGAGGCGGAGCGGGAGATGGACGACGCGTTCGAGGACGATAGCGAGAGCACGCCCCTGAACGTCTCCTATGCCGCTCCCACGCCCACCCATGCTCGCACCCGCTCTACGCCACGAGGGACGTACGACTTTGAGCGCGAGTACGAGTACGACTTTCCGCCGCCCGGCTCGCCCCCGCGCCCATCGTCCGTCGCCCTCCCAAATAATGACATCGGCAACTCAAACGGGATAATGCCCACCTCCCCGCACATCCCCCAGACAGACGCATCGTCGCGCCCCGGCTTCTTCAGGCGGACATTCGGCGCGATATTGCCGACCCATTATCAGCCATTGCCCACCCAGGCCAATGTGCCCGGTCACGGCGGCGGAATGATGAACGACGGTGTGTTCGCGAACGTGATGGCCAAGCCCAACCGGCCGGTAGCCGTGACAGGCGAGAACGGAGAGGTGTACATGGTGCCCGAGGACACGCAAGCAGAAGCGCCGCCCGTATGTCATTCTCCCAGTCACGCTGTATCGCCCGACCCTGATATACCCCGATTTACACAGTCCTACGCGGCAGCTTCGGCAGACGCCGCGCCTGCGTACTGGGAAACGACAGTCCATGCCCCGCCGACGCTCAACCTCGCGGGCGACATGATCATCGACGACCTGCCCACCGGGCCGTTCGTGACGTTCATCATGACGGCCCTTATCTCCTGGTTCTTCCAGTTCCCCGGTTTCCTCCTCACGTACCTTCTGCACGGCACACACGCCGGGCGCTTCGGTGCGCAGGCTGGGCTGGCGCTCACGCTCATCCAGTACGGCTTTGGCGCGACGATGGGCCGTGGGATCGGCGATAGCCCGTACGGCGAGGGCGAGGGCGACGGGACTGTAGCGCCTACGCCGTCCGAGCCTGTGCCCACCGACGGATCCGGGATGCCAATGGACAACATGCCAAACGCTGATGATGTGCTCCCGCCGATGTACTCGGCCGGCCACGAATGGATCTCATTCTTGCTCATGACAGTCGGTGCGTCGCAACGTCGCAACTTCGTGATCATCTCCCCGCATGCTGATACGTATCCATTCTTCCCCCGTTTCCCTTTGCAGGCTGGTTCCTTCTTCTGACGTCCATCATCGGTGCGTCGAAATCTTTGATTGATTATGTGCTTCGAAGGCGCTCTTTGCTCACACGGTCGTTTGATCAGGTTATGTCCGCGTCAAGCGTTTCGAGCTGTCCATCCGTGCGGCGCAGAGGAACGGCGGAACGCAGTACACGCCCGAAGAGGCGCAGCGCGATAACAATCTCAGGCGAAATCTCGAGGAGGTCTTTGGTATTTCCATCGCCGCGGAGGAGCGCGCTCAGCAGCAGGAGCAACCGCAACCAGAGCATCAGCCTAGCACTCCCGAGGACCCCGAGCGGTCTGCGCGCTTGGCGGCTGAGGAGGCGAGACTGGAGCGTGATTTGCGCGCTGCTGGGTTGCTGTGAGATCGGACTTTGTGGGGGTGTCGGGCGTCATTGTATTAAGGTTATTTGCATGCGGATTCATTGACCAGGCTTCGTTCTGGATGTGTACTATCTCATAGTCGGAACTCAGATATGATCTTGAGCTCTTCTGCACAGACTGTATGCAAACGCGCCTCTGCATCTGTAAAAAGCCGCCTGTACGATCTTCGGGCGATGATGGGAGTGTAGTGAGTAGTACATGTGTGAAGGCGCGAGGACGAGCAGAAACCGTTCAATCGCCCAATGTTCCTCCCCGCGCTTCCAAGCTCGTAAGCGGATCGATCTGAACTGAGAAACGTCCGCGGCGCACAATGGGATGATATATGGTGGAATAAGCCTGATGGATACATAACATAAGTAGTCCGTCTACGAATAATGACCGGAGAGGTACAGCGCCCTGCTGTAGCGACAAGTACGCAAAGGCTACATAGCAGCCCGACACGCTGCTCATCGGGGTGGGGTATCATAGTCCGCTCCCCGTCCGTCGTGGTTGCGGGGCAGTCGAGAACCCCATCGAGCCTGATTGCGCGATGCCAGGCGAGGAAGGAGTGCTGCCGCCACTGGGCAGTATGGGCCCATCACCGTTGATGATGTCCTGAATAGAAGCCTCAAGAGCATCTACGCGATCCGACATTTGTCTCACTAGATTAGAAGCAAGTCAGCATGAGATACATGGACAAGAGTCAGAGTACGCACTTCGCTCAAGAAGCTGGGAGGACATGTTGTCGAACTTCTCGTCCAGATCCCCTAAGATGTTCTCAACCTGAGGAGTGAGAACGCTGTCAGTAGACAGCCTTCACTCGATATTATGTCACGCACGAACGCTGTAAGCTCGTGAGGACTGGAGATATCGGCAGGATTGGTGACGCCTTTCGAGTTGGCTGCTCCCTTGGTGCCGGAAGAGGAGTCCACGGGAGGAGTGCTTGTAGACTTGGCAGGCATAGGTCTTGCCGGAGTATTCGCAGGAGTAACTTTGAGCGCAGATGTAGACGCCATGATATCAGATGAAGCGAGTAACGAGCCGCTGTGAGCGTTGAGTGCAAATCCAACCACATCTGATCCAGACGCGCCGATCCGCTCGGCAGTCTCCGATATCTTATCCGACTTGGCCGCTTGACAGCCTCCCTGCTTCCCGCCACCAGGATCGACGGCTCGAGTGCTCTGCCAGTGCCACTTCACCTGTGCTCGCCACAGAATGGACGCGTCACGCGCTACTACTCGATCTCCACGGAGCATAGCACGCTTCCCAGTATAGCATCTACACGTGTTCCTCCGGCGAATATGGCACGCATTCTGCCCACGACCTTGCGTCCTGTCTGCGACGATCACCTGCTCTTGGCTCCTTCCTGACCTTTCTATCGAATTTGAAATCTGAATGGGCGCATAATGGCGTCAGCGCCGTACGAGGAGTATACATATCGCCAACAACGACCGTCATATACTCGGCAAACAGCGCAATCCGACGCGTCTGGCAGTTATACCAGCACGAACATGCCGGCTGCGGGCGGCACTTGGCTTTACGGTCCCGCCGATGCTGCCATGTCGCGGTCGAATGTGATGAGCTCTGGAAGCGAAGTTGGATATGGGCCGGGTGGATCTCCCTACGCATACTCCCCGCGGTCCCCGCGCTCGCCAATGCGGTCCCCGTACTCTTCGCGCTCACCGTACACATCACACGCATACTCCTCATATGCGCCCGGATTCCCTCCCGTGCAGCCGCTCAATATACACTCGCCGGCTCATAGCGCTCACGACACTAATGCGCCTGTATCTGATGGGGAGAGTGACGGGGAGAGTATGCACTCGGAGACTGAGGGCGACTACGTTACGAACATGGACGTCGATCCTGAAGAACTGCTAGTCGCAGATGAAGAGAATGGATATGGAGTAGGATCGGGACACAGAAAGTCAAAGAGACCATTCGTCGGAGGCTTCGTTACGAACCTCAAGCGCCTACCGCGAGCCGTGGCCCGGAACATGATCCACGACCGTCGACCAAGCGCCGATGCACCGCAAACCTCGCACTACATCCAGCAAACCGAAGATCCCTATGCGAGTCCAATCCCGGCCATCGAAGTCGCACCGCCGTACAGCTCTCCTCGTGTACCCCCACCTTCCGGGCCAGTGCACTACGTCCAGGCCATGGACATGCCCCAAGCTCCGCGCGAACATTACCTCGCCCCCGTGCGCTCGCATACACCGCTCTCTCCGCCTCAGCTACCGCACATGTCCGAATCGACCCCGTCGCGCTTAAATATCTCGCGTCGCCCAGCAACCAACTCACAGAGCACGACCTCATCCAAGTCGCACCCCTCGCGCCGCACCCAGATCACCGTTCGCAATCCGGATCCCCGTTCGCCCACTTCTACTGCTAGTAGCATCAGCAGCCATCAGAGCAGCAGTCGTCAGCCGGCTGTTATACCGATGCCTGTACCGCTCGTGCCGCAGGATGATAATCCGCCAGACGCCGAGGACATCGATACGCAGCGCTCGAGCATCACTCAACGCCCTCCGGCACTGACGCCGGGAAGACCTGGTTCGTCTACCGCGCGTGCCAATGGTACAGCGCCCCAAGCAGCAGCAGCTGCTGCTGCTGCGGTATCAAGCCCAGAGTTCCACGAACTACCCTATGCGGCGGACTACGCCCGTATGGAGACGCCCCAGCGCCCACCAGAAGATCCTCCTCTACAAACGCACTTCGCCGCCATCGGCCGGTTCCTGAAGGAGATCAACGACATGCCGTGGTTCGGCGAGACGATCGCGGAGGACTTTGTCCCCGCTGAGACGGAGCGCGCGAAGCGAAGGAGCTCGGGCGCGCCCAAACCGTGGTACTCGCTCAAAGGGCGCGCCGATCTGCTCGCTGGGGCCGGTACGCCTGCGTTGGGGCGGATGACTGCTGGAGGGTCTATGGGTCAGAATCCGAATCAGAACTTGAATGGGTATCGCCCGCCGGTTGCGGCGACGTACCTCCCACCGCCGCCGCCGATGTATGTGTACTCGATGCCGGGGATGCAGCAGGGGACTCCGGGTGTACAGCCAACGCCGCAGCCTGCGTACCCGTTGTACCTTCTCGCTGTACCTTCTTCCAGTGTGTCGTCGCCTGAGTTGTTTGCTACGTTCCCTCCACCACCGGGTTCTGCTCATGTACATTCACCCGCGCGGACTGCTGAGGGCCTTTGATTTGATTGGTTTTCCCTGTGTAGACGCTTTGAATATTGCTGGGTCGTTGTATCTGTCAGGTCGCCTGAATAGCTTTGTTTGGGATTATTGCCTCATGTACATGTCACTGCTTTCCCTTCATGTTAAGGCCTTAATTCTACTTACATGATCCTTCGACGACGAAGTCACGATACTCATCCCAGTGCCTTTATCATGTTCCGTATCCTGTAGTATATGTGCCTTGTCTGTTTCAATGTAGCAAGCTGACAAGGCCCAATGTACATCAACTCTGCGCGTTGAACCGCACTTCATACGGTCGAACACAACAATTGCAACCTGCTGCCCCTATCTAGATTCGGGCCGAGCACGTGTCGACGGGCAAGCAGGTTCGGCAGGTTCGGCACACGGCGTGCGTCTTGCCTCTTACCACCACTACAGAAAAGCTCCCCGACACATCCTACCGAACGATCGCAATCAAGCATGAATAATGGAACTCCTCTGTAAGTTTGATTTACATTAAGCTCGGCGCTCTGTCCTATGAGAACTAAAGGCATACGAATAGTCTCACATCCTGCAAGGCGATCGCGGGCCGTCGACTGGAGGACCTTGAAAACTTGATCACTGTCTCAACCTTGGACGCCGAAAATGCCCCCCATACCGTGGAGGCTTTGCTACTGGAAGATATAGATGCTCTTCGCTCCCTTTCCGCGCGGTTCTGTCGACGCCTCAACCGATTGCGCTGTCCCATCTTGCGCTTGCCACCAGAGATCATACGGCTAATAATCGATACAGTCGTCGACATGGTCCAGTCCCTGTCATATTATGTCAGCACACAGAAGTTAATAATGCTGGGTCATGTTTGCCACGACTTCCGGGCCAACCTCCTAGGCATGCACGCGCTCTGGGGTAGGCACGCATTTGCTCCGGATACCCTCGCCAATCATGTATTCTTGGAGCGGGCACAGGATGCACCAATCGCCATCAGATTACACACACTTTCCCCAGCTTTTCTTCAGGACCTCGCTGTGCAACATCTCCGCCGAGCCCGGGACATTGATGTCTCCGGAAAGCCATTGGATATGTTGGTCCCCGGGTTACAGATGCAATGCTTTCCACTCTTGGACTACTTGAGCCTAACCACCTATGCCACACCCGCCTTGTCTCTCCCGCAGACCTTCTCGGCGCCTAACTTGCGTCGTTTGACCTTGAAAAATGTCATTCCATGTTTCAATGAGCATCGGCTCACCAACCTGGTGACGCTCACGCTGCATAAAGAAACTGCGGATATCTCCTCCAGTCTCGCATCCACCGCGCAGATCGTCGGCATTTTGCGATCTTGTGCCGGTCTCCGAGAATTGGATCTCCGAGGGTTTATTCCAATGCTCAATGAGCTCCCCGAGGAAGAACACCCCAAGGCCATCTATCTTCCTTCGCTCAGGATGCTCAGTTTGTCCCAGGATCGTATCACCGTTCTTCACTTTTGGAAAATGCTCATAATCCCGCCTACAACGACGATAAGGATCGACTTCAAGGACGAACGACCAGACTCGCCTAGCGTGCCGTTGGCGATTCTTGTAGAGGACACCAACGCGTTTGCCGCCCAAGTGACGGCTTATAATGACGTCATGCCGCCTATGTCTGCTCTGAGGATCCACGGAGTTCGATCGCCAGAGGATCAGTGGTGGCTTTCTTTTGGCATCTTCGGCGGATATTGTGGCGTAGGCACTCCCCATTACCTGGGATTATCACCGACGGAATGGACGCGTATTGCAGGCTTTTATTTTACAACTGACCGTTGGACGGAACAAGAGCTCTCCGCGGCCATAGCACGCTTCGTGTCCATCTTCAAGCTTTCCCAAATCGCATACCTCTCCGTCGACTGCTTGTTGGGAGCAGGTCTACTATCAACATACGAGACCTTTCCCGAAGTACGAAGACTTCATCTGGATTATTGCTCAGAGACCGCAGCATTCCTTCCTCTGAGCGTCCGCTCCGATATTAGGACCATACCTCCGACTCCCAGACCATCGGTGCCCTGCCCTGCACTTCATACCTTATACATGTCGGACAACGGAGCAAGTGATGATGATGAGGGTTTTGACTTTTCCTTCTTGCGTCTCGCCTTAAAGGGGATGCTGAGGAGCCGCAGCGAGCGAGGACATCCTATCACGGTGCTAGGGCTCGAATACGACAACGTATCAGACACCGATCGGCAGGAGCTCTTGAATTTCGTGGACGAGATCCGTGTCTATGCGTGAGCGTCCACTCGATCGGGAGAGAAGCGAGCGGTGGTATGGACCACGCCCAGTCAGGCCTCAGTGAGTATTGAAGTAGAAGTTTGAACGAACGGTCGTATGAATTCATTATCACTACTAGCACTATGCGCATCGCCACATTAGGGACGTCTTCATGTAACTGCTATCATTGCGCCACGATACAAGATAGATATATGCCATCACTTTTATCGGAATCTCACAGACGTAAACAAGCGAAAGTCGTATTTACACAGATGTACCTACGAATGATGTCAATAACGTTGAAACCGACACTCAACTATACTCACCCTGGTTGCCGCAACCAGTAGTACCCGGCCAGAGCCCAGCGGTCTCTCCAGCTAGGCACGCGCCATTCCATTGACTGACCGTGCTATCTGCTCCCGACCACTGCGAGCAATCCACTTCCTCGTAACTGCCAGTGAGCGCGCCATGGCCGTTCGGGAAGAACACCTTATCGGCACCGGTGTCCGTGCAAAGGTCAAAGCTGCACGGCACATCATCAGTGGCCCCACAACATACAGGCGAAGAGGATGCACGTACTGAACCGATGCACCGTGCGTGTTCTCCGGGCTTGCAGTCGTCTGACCGCACCACTCGGAGTTGCCAGCGATGGGGCACATGTCCGTGACCTTCACTATGATGGTGTCGCCGAATGGGCCGGTGTACGATGGGTTGTAGGGGTCCGCTGTGGCGCTGATCTTGAAGCAGCGGCCACATGCGTCGCCGGCACCGAGGCCTGGTGCACTGCCAAACGTGAGCTGGCTGATCGCAGCTGTGTAGCCGCTCGTGGTGTCGATACCGCATGCTAAGTAGTGAAGATGGTTTGAGTGCCATAGTACTCCTTGGATGCACGATCACGACGATGGTGCATACCAGGATGATCGCAGCTACTATAGTAAGTGAAAGATGCTGTGCCGGTGTTGGTCTGTAGCCAAGCGCGCGCCGAGGCAGCGAGTGCAAGAGGAAGGATGGTAGAGAGAACAGCTGTCATTCTGAACGCAGACAGTGGGTACCGACGGTTCCGAGCAGGGTGCGCTTGCCGGTAGACGCCAGAGTGCGTTTTATACCTACACGAATCTGGAGGTCATGCACCGCTCGCGCTTGCCTTCTCACCGCGGTGCGGGTCATTGTCGGCGGGGGGTTGCAGAACACATCCCGCATAGGGATCGTTCTTCATGCCTACAACAACGAAGGGATCGAGAACTCGATTGTAACGCTTGACAGAGTGTCTTGAAGCCGTGCTTGGAGGAGGAAGCCTTCATACATACCCTCCATATGTCGCCATCCAAGCGCTGGAGTGGAGTATCTTTTCAGATCGTGCTTCTCCACCGGATAATTCCAAGGATATTCGTCGGAAGTCAGTATCGCTCATGACGTACATGGGCAAATCAATCATTAGTGTGTTTCATTGCGCGTCGTTTAAGGTGCAGAGTATACAAATGTCGTGAAGCAGCGTAGGGGTAAAACGGAAGATCAAGAAAGCAAGAGAACGTTGTATAAATACATGCCGGATCCATATTCCCAGGATCATCGCCATGGCGAATCCTCATCCGGCGGCGGTGGCGTAAATGGGGTACGAGGCAGCACGTCCTCAGACGATTTGCTAGGTCGTTGGGCCCATGGCGAGACGATAGAGTCAGAGGAGTTCGGCGCGTATATCATCGCCTGAGCTTTGTCCTGCTCTGGTTCTGGTGTAGTTGCATCTGGAGTGACTGTCGGTGATGGCTCGAGTGTGACACCGTTGAGGAACATTGACGAGGTTCTCGGCGGTGGCTTGATCGGCTCGGCCGGCTCGTCTGCAGGAGCTTCGGTAGGCGTCTCGACAAGCTCTCCGGGGTCCGATGACGGAGGTGAACCAGGCGACGAGACTAGCACCGCTTCAACCTCGTCTGAATCCGTTGCAGCATGATCTGCAGACGAAGTCGGTGATTTGAGCGCTACCTGAGACGAAGTTCGGGAGTGTGATGCGTGTATCCTCTCGTTCTCCGAATCCGATACGCGTAACCGTTCCTCCTCGATCAGTCTCAGCGCGGCTCTCAACGCGTCCTTCTCCGCTCGAGCTTCTCCCAGCTCCTCCTCAGCCTCGGCGCGCTTGATTCTTTCCTGCGCGACCATCTTGTTCGCCTCCTCGAACAATGCCTGGCTCAAGCTCTCGAGCTCTCCCTCCAAATTATGTTTATCCTCCATCGCACGCTTCAACGCATCACGCTCCGCCACAAGTGCTGCACGAGCCTGTTCAAGCTCAGCTTTCGCCTCATCGAGCTCTTTTGCATTTGCTTCAGGTGCGGCAAGTGGTACGAGGGAAGGTAGCGAGGCCGATGTCAAGTGGCCGGGTGTGGATCGTGACGCAGACAATGGCGGTGATCCAGGCGGCTGTGGCGTCGTCCGCCCACTTGAGAATCGGAATCGGAAGAACCGGCTGTCCTGCGTCGCAGGCGCAGAGGAGACGGTGGCGGTGGGAGGGGGCGCTTGTTCGTCTTCGGCATTCACCGGGCTGCCTGATGGCGCGGACTCGTCATGAGAGGCTCGAGCGGGCGGCTCCGCCGGTGTTGGTGTCGCTGCTGATCGACGCCAGCCAACGTCCTGAGAGGCCGATGAGCGCTTGAGCGCGTCTTCCAGCATGTCGTTGTTCGCGAGAGACATCTTCAGGTTGCTCTGTGCGATCGCAAGTTGGGTCTCCAGTTCGGTCTTGGCCGCAGCGGAGGCCCTGAGTAACGTGCACTACGATATTCCAAGTTATCATCACCAAACACAGGCATATGTAGATGTAAAACATACGAGTTCCTCCACACGCAACATCATCCTACCCAGCGCATCTCTCAAATCCTCCTCCTGTCCTTGTCTCTGAACACGACCGCTGTCCCGGACCTCGTCCGCGATCGTGGCGAGAAGCGTAGCATGCTCCGATGGAATGGCGGGTGGTCCACCCGTACTTTGTCGTTTCTTGCCTGGCGCACTGCGCGAAGGCATCAGGCGAGAGGGAGGAGGGCCAGGAGGGATGAAGTAGGACATGTGCAAGTCGCGCGTCATTGCAGGATCTGGTCATTATAGCAATTAACGCGACCACGTGGGTTTCTCGCAGCGGCTACGCGTATCCAGGTACACTTCGTGGTCGCGGATACGTTCCATCACACGGGGGTTTTACAGCTGGTGGGGGTATAGGCAAAACTTCGTGCGATTGAACTTAAAGCTCGCGGTGGATCGTAGGTAGTATCGTAAAGTGGTGTAGCAGGTGTAGTCAGAAACTGGCAAAACCGAGGATGTATCGTAGATCCAGGCATGATTGAAGATGTAAGCAAGAGATAGAGACAGAGCACAATTCTTCACTGGCATGTCTCATTGCGAGAGTGCCTCGCTCGCCGCATCCTGCTCGTACTCGGCCTCCAGCTCTTCTTCGTCTTCGGTCGTGGCCTCTTGGTACTATGGAATGCGTCAGTGTCAGATGCTGTAGAGAGATCTTCGCTAATACTTGCCTGCTGGTACTCAGAACTGCATACACTGGGTCAGCAGCGCTCGTCAAACAATAGAGGAAGACGCACATGAGATCGTGGCAGTTACTCTCGGCCTCGGTGAACTCCATCTCGTCCATACCCTCGCCCGTGTACCAGTGCAAGAACGCCTTGCGCTTGTACATCGCCGAGAACTGTCGTATCGATCAGTATCACATCGCACAGTATATCTATGTATACTCGACGCACCTGGTTCAACGAGCGCTTAAAGACCTCCTGAACAGCGGTGTTGTTGCTGAGGCAAGTCGCGGCCTGCGCCTTACCGACAGGCGGCACGCTGCACAGCGTAACACTGACATTATCGGGGATCCACTCGACGAACATCGCGCTGTTCTTCCTCTGAAGCTCATACACCGCGAACTACAACCCCTCATTAAGGACGGCGTCGACGTCGATGGAAGCGACGACGACGTACTTCAGCCTGTGGATGGGCTAGTGAGCGGGGTGGTGGGGTAAGATGATAAGGAGAACACAGACTTCTCTGGAGGACACTTTGCCGCGGAAGATCGTGGCGGCGGTGAGGTAGCGCCTAGGTGCGGCGCCGCGCGCTGGTCAGCCAGTGCTCGGTGAAGCAAGGGTGGAAAACAAACCCGTAGCGGGGATCCGCCGCGACAAGCAAGTTGCGCCGATCGAAGAGCCTGCCAAGCACAAGGTCAGGAACCGCGAAGCGCAGTAACAAGCATGAGCGCTTACGCCTGGGTGAGCTCCTGTACGGAGACCCTCGCGTACGCTTGTGCGCCAGCGGTGTGGAACGGCGCGTAGGACGGGCAAAGGAAATGCAGACGCGGGAACGGAATCAAGTTCAAGCTCAGCTTGCGAAGGTCGCCGTTGAGCTGGCCGGGGAAACGCAAGCTTGTCGACGTTCCGCACATAACCTGCGATACGAGGCTATTCAGGTCATCGAAGGAGGGGCTCTTTGTCTTGAGTGTGCGCGCAGTGATGTCGTATCTGGCGGGAGATAAGATTAGATCGAGATAATGAGATCCGGCGGAGTAGGCAGGAGAAACGCACAAGGCTTCGTTATCGATGCAAATCGTCAGGTCGCTGTTCTCGACCAGTTGATGCATGGATAACAACATGTTATACGGCTGTTCCAATAGGTAAGTCACTGGTCGGTCTTGTCGCGTGCGGCGTAAATACCTCAACGACAGTCTCAGACACCTATCACAAACAGTTCATCAGTACCATGCATCGTACGATTCGCATGAGGCACACACTTTTGGCGAGGGCAAAATGGAAAACGTTGCGAGCATGCGGTCAGGGTACTCTTCGCGCAGCTTCGACAGCAGCAGCGAGCCGAGACCCGCACCCGTACCACCACCCAGAGAGTGGATGATCTGGAATCCCTGCAACGCATCACACGACTCCGTCTGGTGGCGAACCGTCTCCTACAATGCAAATCAGTACCCTAGTCTGCATATCGCGGACAAAAGAAAAAACGCACGCTGATAGCATCCACGAGCTCAGCGCCTGTTCCACGGAGTTAGCCGGCAGGATATACATCATATGGAAGTATGCGCACCATCGGTGTAGACTATCCGGTGTGACAGGTGTCAATGTGAGCCGAGAATGCATGTAGAAGTTCGCAAGACGACGTACAGCCCTTTGCCCAGTTGTTCCCCGCACCGCCGTCTGCGGTCACCCACGTATCAGGGCGGAATAGACGGCCTATGGGGCCTGAGCGTATCTGAACGACCATGAGTTGAACGTCTACGTCTTTAGGAAGGGATGGACGCACCCGGTCCGCGACACCCGTCTCCAGATCGACCTGCACGCTACGGGGCACGTACTTCGCGCCAGCATCGTTGCCTGATACCTCTTCGAAGTATGTGTCCGCCTGCAATACACTTCAGTGAGCCATCAAACAGAAGCAGCCGGTCCTTAGACGCACGCGCTCGATTTGGAGAGGGTCTTTCCCTTGATAGTACTGAAATCCAACATCAGTCACGGCTTCGCGAGCATGGTGGCGAGTGCACGCACCCCGTCCTGGGTGAGCCCATGCTCAACGAGGAGCATGTTCCAGAAGCTCTCGCCAACTTGGTTGCCCGCCTGTCATAGACGCACTCAGCACTCAATTACCCGACACCAGTTGACAGCTCAGGAGACTGACCTGGCCGACCTACAGAAACGCGCGGGTAAGACAATCGTTCACCACCTCAAGTAAATTCAGGGTGACATACCTGAAGATTCAAGATTTCGCGCGGCATGGTTGTTGACAGGAGGTGGTGGGGGTTAGGGGAACGTACCGCTCGGCGCCGCGAGTCCGTCCCAAACTTTGAACTGTATTCGAGCCGGCACCGGCCGAGCTTTCCTGACTCCTGACGTCAACTTTCAATAACCGAGCCTCGAGGTTGACACGAGGCGTTTGATGCTCTCGAAAGAGTCGAATACGGCATAAGGTTATCTACTAGGCAAGATTGCTTAGGGAGGCGGTAGGACTACTAAGGCTATAGCGCGATGATAACCTCCATGGATTGCAAGATTGTACTGACAGGCCGGTCCGTGGACCTCACTACTTACTTATTCTAGAAGGGCGGCGAAGTTCATGACACCCGCATTTGACCGATCCAAAGTGCTTGCGCTGATTCACTACTGACGTGCTATACATGCCATGGGCCATGGACTACTCGTAAGCGTACACAAAGGGTTTGTCCTTGACCGCTTGCGCATCAGTTCGATGCCTCAGAAGAATCCGATCGTACGAGAGCCCGTGTGAAGGAAGAGCCCGATTGACTGCCTTGTCTTCGAGTCTCGCGAAGTTGCATGCTGTAGCAGTGGGATCAATAAACCAATCTACTGAAGTTGATGACGAAGCCCAAGCGAAGCCGACGTGCAAGAGGGGGCCTCGCGAAGATCTCAAATCCGCAGGCGATCCAACATATCATAATGCCCAGAAATATTCACGTCCATGTGTCTACAGTGTGTGATATTTGACGGTGAGCCCGAGCCTGCAACCCTCTACTAGAGGATTTCTTCTCAGCTTTCGCGATGGCATCCGAGCCTGACGTCCCAAAAGTTCCTGGTGGCTGGATGGAGAGCGCGGGTCACCTTCGCCAGGTCAGCGCGACGTGTCACGGGTGACATCACGCATCACCTTCTGTTGATCACCGCGCGCGCTCTCGAAGCTTGGCTCCTGACTAGCTCCTGCCTGCGGCGGCCCTGCGCTTCCAGCTCACGGGGAGTCGTCACTATGCCCAAAGACCTTCTACACCAGCTCTGGGCTAGCTCTGGTGCCTACCGTGACCCCATTGGACTCGCATGGTGTTTCCGTGCCGCTAGGCATGTGCTCAGCTTATCTCCGCAAAAGCATCCCTTGTGGTCAAGCCAACACTATCCAAACCCCTCCGCCGCGGACGTGTAGCTATGGGCTCAAATCCCTGAATGGACATTCCGAGGCACCGATATATCTTTCACTGCGAGGACTGAGCGAGCTTTAGCCTCGAGTTCACCAATTTCGGACACGCTCGCCGGGATCTCGCTCACTTATGGCCGTCTTATTCGAGCGGGCTCTTCCAGCTACATGTGGCTCCTCGTCGATAGCTACCGTACCGGTACCTATTGTCCTGTGCCGACTTCTCTGAGCTTATTTCGACGACGATCATCAAATGGCGTGGGACCTCTCCGCCCTCACGAGCGCATGCTGTCCCGATAAACTACCCAAGAGCGCCCGGCCGCGTCAAATCGACAGAGCACGTCAAGGCAACCGCAAAACTCGTATGGACATGTCGCTTGCATCGCACCGCCACTACACTACCTCCTCCATCTGGTGCTGTCAATTGTGGTCATGTACCCATAGCGCTGTAGGCTGCGGCTCCTGCGCCGCCAGGAGCTACCCCGCATGCGAATGCATGACCCGCCTCACACGCTCCCGACGTTGACCCGCCAACCCTGCAGTGTAAACATCGGCGCACTCTGGATGTACGATTACCAGAGTTGCGCTATAAAAGGAGTCCACCCAGTCGGCCCCACTCGTCATCCTCGATCCCAACAAAAACCGCGATGAAGGTTCTCTCCTCTGTGCTCGCACTGGGCCTCGTGGCTTCGGCCAACGCTTGGCTTCAACAACCGTCCGGAACGGCATCTTTCACGTTCTACAGCGGCTGTGGTCAAGCAGGTATGCTTTCAACAGACTCGATCACGCACTTGCGCGTACTAACGCGCGTTGTTTCAGCCTGCGGCAAGACTGCAAACGGCTTCACGGCGGCGATCTCGCAGCTCACTTTCGGTAGCTCTCCTGGTCTCGGTGCCGGTGACGTTTGCGGCCGCTGCTTCTCTATCACTGGCAAAGCCGACCCGTACTCACCTTCTTTCGGTGGCCCATTCAAGACGATCATCGTCAAAGCCACCGACATGTGTCCGGTCAACGGCAACTCGGAGTTCTGCGGTCAAACTTCGTCAAACCCCACCAACACCCACGGCGCCTCCGTCCAGTATGTCTTCCATCCATAGTGTGAGCCCACATGCCTACTGATAATCTTGCGCAGCTTCGACCTATGCCAGGACACCGGAGCGGACCAGGCATTCTTCCCGTCAGGCCATGGCGCTCTTACTGGTACTTTCCAGGAGGTCTCTTGCTCCCAGTGGTCGGGCTCGGACGGCGGTGTCCTCTGGAACGGCGGCTGCCTCTCTGGCGAGTCCGCTGGCCTTTGGCCCGGCACGACTGGTTGCGGCAACAAGGGTGCGTCTAAACGTCTTAGGCTTCAGCTCAAGTGCGCTTGGCTAACATCCTGTGCAGGCTCGTCCATCTGAGCTGCCATGGCAAACGAAACCCCAAGACTCCCCTCAGATTAACGCAACGTGCCAAGGTTCCAGTTATTGTACTCATGTGTACGATATCGTGCATAAGAGAAACGGCTTGCATCTAGGCCTTCTCAAAATTTATCTCTACGAGTTGTGATTCTGACGTCAGATCTGTTGCTCGTCATTGAGCGCACAATGGTCGCCGGAAGCCCCTCTGAATATATCGCCTCCTCCGTGAAGTCGGCGTTCCTGGTGCTATTCTAAGCGCTGTAATCCTATCTTCAGTCTTGACGGTATGGGCGAGACCTTGGCCTGCCGCACGGTCATCGCACGCGGAGCTATAAGGAAAGACATTCTATTGAATTGAACCTCTTCCTCCGTCAACTCGAACGGTTCAACTTCCATCCACATTAGGGGTCTGTTCGCGCTCCCTATCCGCTATCGTGATTGCGCTCGAGGACTAAGGTCTTCTTCATTGAGTATCGATTTTGGGCTGGATCAATCTATATGTCAAGAAGTGGGTGCGGTAGGCGAACGCTCTCAATCATCTACGGCAGGATCTACAGGCTGCGTCGCCTTCGACGCGTTGACGATATTCGTTAACCTTTTCTCGACGTAGCTCAGACACTTTGGTTGATATCTGGAACAAGGGTATCTTCTCTCTCCTGTCCTCGGCCAACCCGGCCCTTCGACCCCTGCCTGGTCACCACGAATGTCATGCCAGCGGGGACTATATAACCCTCGGTGGCACTTGCTTCAAAGTCAGTGCACTCAACCAGTTCATCCGCTCAGTCAACCGACCAATCCCCTCCTCACTCACAATCACTATGTTGACTTCCTTCATCGCCTCCCTCGCACTCCTCACCGTCGCCTCGGTGAACGGGTCGCCTACCATCTACGACAAGCGCGACCCTCAGTTCATGGTCAACCTGCCCAACCGTCTGCCTGTCAATGGCAGCATCGGCTTCGGTATCACGATTGGCCAAGGCCCGAACGGCAACAGCGTCGTGACCTTTGGCAACGGTACCAACGGACGCGGCGGCTTCCCCTTCGGCTTCTTTGGAAACCGCTTCAGGGGCAACACGAACTCCGGCACCAACACGACGAACACCCGCCCGTTCCCGTTCAACTTCCTGCCGTTCAAGCGCGAGATGGAGATGGAGATGTCGAAGCGCGAGCCGCAGTTCTCGTTCGACTTCGGGAATGAGCTGCCTGTCCTCGGCGATCTCCCGTTCGGCATCAACATCGCGCAAGGCGCGGATGGGAACAGCATCGGCAACATCGGCAACGCTACGACCGGCGACCGCGGCTTCCCGCTCAACTTCTTGCCGTTCAAGCGCGATGGCGGTGAGGCGCATCAGCTCGTGGCGCGCGAGCCTCAGTTCGGGTTCAACTTCACCAACCGTCTGCCTGTGACCGGTCGCTTCCCGTTCGGTCTCAACATTGGTCAGGGCGCGAACGGAAACAGCTTTGCGTTCTTCGGTAACTCTAGCACGGGAGCGCGCCCTTTCCCGTTCAACTTCCTTCCCTTCAAGCGCGAGGATTAGTTTCTCGACTTCTTGTAGTAGACTCCCTGCTAGACTAGATGCGCTGCCTATACCGGACTCAAATGACTGTATCATGTACCCGGCTCCTTGTTGATATGTATAGACGCCTGAAAATATTACTCTGCACTCCTCTCATTGCCCCTCAATGTGTGATCCATCTAGTCGCGCACATCTCAAATTGCGGCATAAGTGGCAGTCCGACCTCAGACATATCACTCTGCCTTTCCACATCGGTCGACCACATATGCCCGAGCTCGTCTTTGCTCAATGCCACCGACGCCTTCGAGCTCCTCCGCCGTCTGCTCGTCCAAGTTTACCTATCAAAGTTACATGAATCACTTGCGCACTGTCCTAGGGCCACACAACGTACTCGGGTTCGATCTGCACCAGCCTCGATGAGCATCGCGGCCGCCTCTGCGTGTGCAGACTCCATTGCGAGGTGTAGAGGCGTGTTTCCTGGGTGCAGAATGGGTCATGATACGTAAGGAGTGTAGTGAACGTGGTGTGCTCACCCATACGATCCGCCGTATTCAGTCGTGGCTTAGCGCCACCATCAACGGGCTTAAGCAACAGCTGGATGAAGCCCGTGGAACCCGTTGTTGCTGCCCGGTGTCTATAGCGAGTCAGTCATGGAAACCAAGATATCAGGCGTCGTTTCGTACAGCGGTAGTTGATTGGCTTTGTCGCGAGCATTGACCTGCATATGTCAATCAGAGAGACGGCCGTCAGAGATCATATAGGCGCGCATACATCCGCTCCCCGCTCGATGAGAAACTTCCCTATCTGTGACATGATCGTTCAGCAGATGCCCTGGTACACAAACGGTGGGGTTACCTCTATCCGTGTCTTTGACGCCGCATAGTGTCTGCAGACCGTCAGTGGTTGACGCGTATCAGATAAAATACTGCTCACAGTGGCGTCAGGCCCTTGTCATTCTTGCAGTTGACGTTCGCCCCGGCGCCCACGAGCTCTCGCACGATTTCGTCTTGACCTGCGCTTACTGCCAGAGGTCATATGAGCCCTGTCTTGTACAGGCGTGAGAATGGGGGCGAGAATCTTACCAGCCATGTGCAAGGCAGTCCAGCCACTTCCGTCAGGCTTGTCAAGCTCGGCCTTCTGGTCAATCAGGAAGCGCGCCACATCATTCGATCCTGTCGATGCAGCCCAGTGTAAAGCAGTACGATCATCCTGATCACATGAGGATCTGTATGCGCGCAGGATTCAGGACTAGCCATACCGCGTCTATCGAGTTTAACAGTTTCGGGTTCTCAGAAAGGAGAGATCGGACGACGGGCAGCTGATCTACGCCAGGATGAGTCTCGATTGATAGTGGATCTCATCTGTATTCACTGTTCTGCGCGGCAAGCTGTATCGTCATAGAAGAAGCCATGGTGAGCGTAGAAGGCAAGCTAGACGCGTACGCGAAGCGCGACGCGTCATCCGCCTACGCGGGGACGCGTTCACGTGAACCGCGCGACGCGCCGAGGCCACCGTGCCCGCGGTTGCCTTTCGCCACAATGCGCCTGCGGCGTTACACCGCACACGCGCGAGCCACGCTTTGCAGGTCACATAGGACCGAATGACCTATCTTCTATCGCCACGCCGACTTTGCTCGTGCGCGTATATATACCCAGAACCGGACGGCGCTCTGCGCCTTGAAAACGCCACATGATGATCAAGAGGCCTGCTCGGTACAACGCCTGAAACCGACAGCGGCTGAGACAGACGTGCTTGCTTTACGACCCTGACGACCCCCAGACGACCTGACTGCTATACTCACCGCTACGCCAGGCTGGTCATGAAGCTGAACGATGACCCCATGACCCGCCCGCGCGTCCTCAACCGCGAGTGGACGGGCCGCAAGCCAGTTAGTATACATTTCCGCACCTGCCTACGATCTCTAGCCGTAGTTACTGAGCATCTACTCCGTAGTCTCTCTCCAAGGCAACCTCGTTGCCCGTATTGGCTCTCGTGCCCGATAATAGACCGCTATTCACTTGTGCTAAATGTGGGTTCACAAACCGGTACCCTATCGTGCCAATATGCCTATTTTGCGCCTGGACGACACCCGAGGCCATCGCCGCGTTTGAGAGTGCGCTGAGCCGAGTGCGCCGCCGTCGCATTAGCGGGCCCGCACCCGCGCCCGTGTCAAACGCGACGCCCGATGCGATCAAATACGATGCCAAATGCGGCAAGTTGAACTCGAATGGCGGTACATTCACGAAAGATACCGAGTCGGTACGTGTAGAAGAGGTCATCGTTACGCCGCGCATCCGAACACGACGCTAACATTTGCGGGAAAAGATGCAGATCGTTGCAAGCCTCGATCGGGTCGTGGCCATCGGACGCGGAAATATCGCCCGAGCGCGCAGAAAGCGACTCCCGCATCCGTGTTTGCCTCCGCCCACCACCACCAAATCTGCAAGAACACCAGAGTCGGCTGGTTCTGGCGCGAAGCCGGCGGACGCTATGGCAGGCTCGCGTGGGAAACGCCGACGGCCCGAAGGCTTCGATTCTGCCCACCTTGGCGGCGATGACCGTCCGAGCACGGCGCCTCAGCCTGCTCCTTCCCTCGCGCCGCCAGAAATGGCTGCGCGCATGCGCAAACGGTCCTCTCAGTCCCTGCGTGACCGTTCCCCGCCGTCGACCATCAAGCGGTCTGCGCCGCCGTCATCCTCTGGCATACCCTCATCGCAAACATCTCGCGCACCGTCACCCGAACCGAGGCTGGGTAGTACCGAGCGGCCATACTACACTGCTATACGCAAGAACATGTCGCGCCCGACCACCCCGTTTATACCCACGCCGTCATCCTCGCCGCCTCCTGCAGCTTACATGCCTACGCGTATGAGCGCGGAGAACGCGTCCAGTCCCGAACCGTCACCCAACATGCGTCCAAGCGCGGACTATATGGGAACGACGCGTATCAGCCCCGAGTTCGGGGGACACGTTGTCCGGCCCAGCGCGGACTACGCAACGTACTCGCGTATGAGCGGCAGTAGCTCACTTCCTCCACGTCGACCTGGAGGCTCCGTATCTGGAGAGATGGAGTTGCGCATGGCGCTCGCAGCGCGCCGTTCAGAGGAAGGTCCACCCGCTGGCGCGCGTCAAGAATACGTCTTCCGTGAAACCCCGGCGCCTCCTCAGCCACCGCGCCGCCCCAGTCGCTTGCGTCGCATAGTTCGCAGCATGTTCTTTGGCGGACGCGCCATCGGCCCACCCCCCAAAGGCAAAAGTTGACGCGCTACCTTTATCCTGCTTTCGATGCTTCATTCCATGATCAACACCACGCTATACGCTTATGCTTGCCTAATACCCCCTTGACGAGATCCTTCACGACCCACAAACGCGTGTATAAGAATCGATACCCTGCTGTGATCCCCCTCGTCTTGTCCAATCCTCATTGTTATCCATCGTCCAACCCATCCATCACTATCATATATACATCTCTCCGCGCTGCTGCTTCGCGTACAATACTCTTTCTCTAGCCTGTTGTGTTCTAGCATGTTTTCCTTCCGTTTCATCCAAATTCAGAGCGCTCTATGCTGTCAGCTTCTTTTTGAATTGGCATAGTCTTCTTAGTGGGAGTTTGTTCGAGACGTGGCAGATTTCAGTGGGAGATGCTGATATAGATCCGCGCTGATGATTGGGCGCGGATTTGCAAATCTCGGGTACGTACCTCCGGCCTCGGTACCGAAGGAAGCACGTGCGGTTCGACTTTACACTCAACACTACTTGAAGTTTGCAAGCAAGCGCTTGGACAAAAGCGTCCATCTTGCAAAGAGTACAGGCCATGAATAGCGCAAACCTACTGTCGGTGCTACATCCCGCGCTCGCCGCGGGCCGAAGAATGAAACCGTCGGAAGTAGGGCGCATCCTGATTTTATGGGCTGATTGGCTGGTCCCATCAATTTGAATTAGGCTCTCCAACGAACCTGCCGTTCGCGCTGACAGCGCTCCGTGCCTCTTGGTGCCAGTCAGCGACGACGACCACTCGGACGACGTCCAGGCTCATACTCTGACCACCAAAGCCGCAACGGCCTCGAGAGTTGCTCCGTTCATTCATTTACGCCAGAGAGCTGGTTTAGACGTGGCACCCTCGGCTCGCGCCACAACACCTGCGCAGTCTCCTTCCGTCTTCTCGCTATTCTCCAAGGAATATGAGCGTCCGAGCTCTGCTTCAGACGTTCGAGGAGAACGATAGGAAGGCTTCCAGCCCACCTACATCTCCTCCGCGCAGGAACTCGAAACCACCTCTACGCATCAATACTCCAAGTCTCAAGTCGGAGGAGGAGATCAGGGCAAGTGCGGCTTCTCTTGCTGCTCAAGCTAGCCAAGTGGGTCCACAGTATGGAAACAGTATCATCTGCTAATGATCTCGTAGGCTGCAGCTGCCAACGCGTCTCGGCGTACAAAGTCGACGCCGAGTGCCTTATTGTGCGTCCATTTCCAGCATTCCCAGACAGTACCCATGTCTCACGAGTGCGTTACAGCACACCGAATAGCGCACATACGTTCGGCCGACCCAATCTATCGCTTGAGTCTTCTGAGGACTCCGGCCCTCAATTGGCCTCCGCATCCGGCCAAACGCTCGATGCAGTATCTGCTTCACCCTCGAATATCACCCCGACATCTTCCCTTCCAACTCCACCCGATACAGCCCAGCTCGCTTCACGCCGTGCGGAGCGCTACAATCACGATGAACAGCAACTCGTAGCGGCAGCCACACCCAACCTCCCCGAGTTCTCGCCCCGCACCTTGCAGAAGTTTGAGCTGGCTAGAGCGCAGAGCCTGCTCGCCGAACGAGCCGCAGCGGCGCGCGCTCGGGTCACCGAGCTGCGACAGAAGCTTTCGCGGCATGACCTAGATCCGGCAGAGCATACCGCGTTGCAGCAGGAGAGGTGGAAGCAGGAGCGTTGGGCGGATGCGGCCGAGCAGCAGCTTGCGCGCTTGAAAGAGGCGGAGACGGTGTTGAAGGAGACGCCGCCCGCAAAGACACAGCCGGAAGTCCCCGCAGTTGGTGTCTCTGTTGGCAGACCTGTGAAGACGGTCCTGGACGCGGACGCACGCCGCCGCGCCAACCTCGCCAAGTTCTTCGCTCAGTCACCGACGCATGTTACAGCTCATACTCGCAACAGGAGCAGAGTCATGATCCTGACATCTCATCCTGCGGGTGGCGAGCCCAATCTGGAGCTCAAGTTGCGGGACTGGCCGATTGGCGCCGAGCTTAGACGTCAGAGCTCTGCGAACTTGCGTCCGCGTTCACTGGATGGCACAGAGCGCACTGGACCTCCTGCGGCTGAACGTTTGGGACATGGCAGTGCACGCAAGAAGTCGCGTCGGGTTCCACCAGCGCTTCCGCTCGACAAAGACGCGACTTCGGGCAGTACGGTGCAGGAGTGGGTGTACAGTGCGCCTGCACATACTGGGGTCGTTCGCTTCCCCCGCGCACCACCTGTGCACGTCGACTACACACTCGACGAGACGCCCGATGGCAAAGCGGTGGTCTATAACCGCACTGTGTTGCCCACACGCGAAGAGATCCTCGCGGGTGCCAAACCTGATACAGAACCCCTCAACATGCCGAGCTATGTCTCGGCATTGCTTGACGAGTTCGACTTCGAGATGCCCGACTTCGTTTCTGCGCTCGCGTTGCCTGAGCCTGAACCCGCACCCGCACCTGCACCCAAGCTCTCACGCGCGTCAACAGCGCGTATCTCTACCACGCGTCCTTCGACGACACGCATGTCAACAGCGACATCCCATCGCATTTCGTCCGCCTCTCCACCAATGCTCCCAGCACACACGCCTCTACCACTCCTCACGCTCACTCTCTCCCGCCGCGCAAGCATCGACACGCTCGGATCCGCCGTCCTCGTCTCGCGACCTTCGATTGACAGCTATCACTACCCTCAACAGCGCCAGTCGAAGTTGCGGATCTCGCGCTCGTTCAGGTCGAGCATGCACTTCGGCGGATCGAGCTCCACAGTCGGCGGCGAAGGTGGCGAGGATGGCGCGAGAGGGCCTAGGGTTCGGAAGCCGTCGTTCTTGAGGCCGAGGACAGAGTCTAGTGGAGAGGACGGCGGGATGATGGATCGTGTGCGGAAGCGCGTTAGTGTGCTCGGGAAGCGGTAGAGGGATCATGGTCGTAGTTGATGGGTTGCTGGGATGTTCACTATGGCTTTTGAGTTGTTGCTCTGCTTTATATATTGTCTCTCCAAGTACAATACCCCCTTCTGCTAGTATGAGTGTTTCCTCCCCGGTACTTGTTTACGATACCTTACATACATCTCATGTACGTAGCTCTCAAGAGCACGACCCATCTTGATATACCTCGTGTTTGCCGCCGATCTTCAGCGCACACGCGGCTATTCAAAGCGAGATCCGTGTATTCCAATTTCCAAGAGAAAGCATGTGGACGTGCTATGTAAGCGGAGTAACAATGTGGACTATGAACAGGAAGTGCAGATGATGACAGTAGCAAGATAGCAATCGACAAACAACATATGAAGATCCCAAACAGTAGGTCGCTCAGACAGAGATCATATCTTCCTTCTCGTTCACCTCTGAAGAATTCTCAAGAACCGCCGGCGGGAAGCGCTTGTTGAGCCAGCGGTTGACTTCGGACAGGATAGCAAGGAGCGCGACGAAGACCGTCGTTGTGGCGAAACCCTGGACGTAGCGTGGCGCAGTGGTCGATGGCCACAAGAAAGAGCCGTAGATCGAGGCGCTATTCCCACACGAGTTGACGATTGCAATTGCAACTGCACGCTTCTCCGCGGGGTGTGCGACCAGTCCGGATACCCACTACACAAGAATCAGTCATTTGCATTGTGTACGGCATCGGTGAGACGTACCAGAAGAGTCAGCGGGCATGCAGCATACACACCGCCGACGGCGAAACAGAGAAAGGCATATTTGACCTTGTTGTTATTCACGGCGACCGTGATGATGAATGAAACTGTTGCGATGCCAGCGGTGCACGTAATCCATGTCGCGCGATCCTCGCGGCGATCCGACAAATGGCAAAAGAAGAGGATGAAGACAAATGCCACCGCGTAGACGGGGATCGTCATGTACTGCTTCATCCAATCAGTGTATCCCAGCTGGCCGACGAGCGCCGGTACGAAGTACTGGATCGTCTGGGAGCCGGTGGCAAGCATGAACATCACGATAAGGATGTACGTGCGCCAGTCAGACATGACCATCTTGAACGCGGTGCCGTGTGAGGGTTTCTACAACACGTTCGTCAGCACGGGCCGCCGAGCGATCATGCTACGTGAGAGGCTACAGACCTCAGTAGAACCCATGGTCCCACCGATTCCGTCGAGTTCCAGGCGCTGAGTGGCGATAAACTAGAGACGCTAATCAGAATTTGACCGTCCGGAGTTGGAGTGGCACCGGGTAATACTCACGCGCTCTTCGGGCGTAAGCCAAGATGTAGTGGAGGGCCAGTCAGGAAGGATGTACCACGTCAGGAGACCGACGAAAGATGCGCCTACGCCTTCGATGAGCAGCAACCATTGCCATCCTTCGAGACCTCTTGCGGGATTAAGGTACTTCGTAATAACACCGGCAAGAAGACCAGAAAAGGCGCCGGAGACAGCAGTTGCCGTGTAGAACATCGAGTATCGTGTCGCAAGCTCGCGACGCTTGTACCATGACGAGAGGTAGACTGGAAGTGATGAATACAGCATAAAGGCCTAGTCAATGTAGGAGGAACTCACAGGCAACGCCAGGCGCAAATCCAGCCTCCACAATTCCGAGACAAAATCGAATGCCTGCCAGGGACTGGTAGCTCTTTGCTGCGGACATGCAGGCCGCCACGCCACCCCAAACCACGCACAGTCCAGACAGGCTGAATTGGGTTATCAGTGGATGGGCTTCAAGAAGCATTACGTGGGAAGGCGCACTAAAGGGACGGTCTCCTGATGCGGCTCATGAGCATGTTCGCCGGCACCTCGAAGATGATGTACGAGATCTATTGGTAGTGCTGTTTCAGGTGTTAAGGTTCGTGCGTGCATGTGTAGGGTACGTACAAAGAACACGAGAAGGATGATGGAGTACTGGGAGTCCGTGATGTGCAAGGACGCCTGCATGCCCCCAGCCTCCGCATTGCCTGCGTTAAGGATGAGACACCCGCATGTCAAGTCAGAGAGGCTCAAAGAAGCGCACCTATGTTCGCCCTATCCAAATAGGACGCTACATAGAGCAGCCATATGGCTGGAATCTGGAGCAGAGACGGAAGAACTTAGAAACGGCGGACAGGGTCGGGGTGGAAGCACGGTGACTGACGATGCGAAGGTCAAGCTTGCGAACGAGGCGCTTCTCTGCCTCGGAGCCTGGGATGTAGCGCAAGTCGCCAGCTTTCTCGGACACCTCAAACTCTTCTTTGTCGATGGAGGACATGAAGGGCCAGCAGTGAAGATGACCGTGAGTGTCAGGAGCAGAAGACGGGGCGAAGCACGCCGAGAGCCCTGATCTCCGCCCAGACGGCGACAGCTGCTTTATAAGTATCCACAACAGATCAGCCCTCGTATTTACTGTGTCAAGGAGGCGCTGAGAAGGTGTAGGTAAGTAAGGCACGTCGTACTGGTCGAAACCGAGTTTCTGGCATCAGGGGTCGTAGCCTAGTATACGCCGCCATATGAGACTTCCCCACGCGCGGCCACCTGCGCGGGTGGGGATCGACGGTGAGCACGACGCCTTTCGCTGCTGCCGCAAGCTCGGATCGATACATCCAGCGCTTCCTGCCAAAGAACTTGATCGCAAGAGCATAGAGGGCCTCGTGAGGGAGGGAAAGAAATCGAGAAGACCCGGGCCCGGCGCAATCAGGAAGGGGCTCGGCACTTTCCGATCAACCCGAGCGCGGCACGGTTCGAACCCTCTGCTCTTCCTTCCATCTTCACATGCAGCCATAGAACCCGGGGGACGGATCAGGAGACCAGCGAGTCCTGGTTTGTGCGCAATGTCTCAGCGGCCCGAAGTTTGCAGCTATAAATCGTGCACTTGCCTTCAGTAACGTCTCTGTCAACGACCAACACGAACCGCCATGTCGGACGATCTTCGCTCTTCCAACCTCACTTTTCAGATCCTGTCGAAGGCCCAGCGCGAAGGGTATGGCGTCCTCGCTCAATCTTGGTGACTATCTTTCGATTCAATACATCTCGTCCCGAAGTTGAGCGAATGGTGTGTAGCTACGACGCGCAGTCCGCTATAGCACTGGTACGCGCGGCAGAACGTAACAGGAGTCCCGCGATCTTGCAGCTCTTCCCTGTAACGCTTGCCTATGGGAAGGGCCCCTTCCTTCAGTTTTGCCTCAACGTGTGCGTCCACTTCATTGCGTACAGAGCGTACAGACGAGTCCATGTCCGACGTCTGTGGCAGCGCTCATCAGGCATCCGTGCCTATCGCGGTGCATCTTGATCATGCGACAGATCCCGAGCACATCGAGCTCGCACTCAGCCTTGCTGAGCAGGGGATTGCGTTCGATAGTATCATGGTCGATGCTAGCCACGCAGAGGTAATACCTTCGCCGAAAGTTGTAAGACCTTTCCCTAAAGCCCGTCTTCCAGACCGACGAGGAGAACATCGAACTGGCGCGCCCGCACGTAGAGCGGGCACGTAAAGCAGGTGTTCTAGTTGAGGTCGAACTCGGGCGCCTTGAAGGTGGCGAGGCCGGCCTTCGTGTCATATCCGACGCGAAGCTCACTAACCCGGATAAGGCGGAGACCTTCATGAGAGAGTGGGTTGCTGCCCTTGAAGCGTGCCGCTGCAGGTCTAACCTTGGTCCCTTTCTGTAGAACCGGTGCTCTCATTCTCAGCCCAAGCATTGGTAATTTGCATGGTCTGTACCTGAACCCCCCGAACTTCCGCCAAGACATGTAGGTTGCTCTCGTGTTGTGCAGTGCTTCGTTGATTTGATGTGGCGGATTAGTCTGAAGAACTTGCGCGCGCGCTTCGGTGGTGAGATACCGCTGTGTCTGCATGGAACCGACCAGCTTCCAGATGACCTCTTTCGGGAGTGTATCCAGAACGGCATCAGCAAGGTTTGTCTAGCCCTTCCGTACTTTGCCTTATCGTATTCAGTCTGTGTCTAGATCAACGTCAATAGCTGGGCGCGCGATCCATACGTCAAAAGCCTCGCTGGTGGACTCCAGGATGGCAAACCCTTCCCGGATGCCATTGAAGACGCGACGGAGGTTTTTGCGGGTGTATGCGACCGGTTCTTCAAGTTATTCGGCTCGGCGGGCAAGGCTTAAAGTAGTACACCGCATGAAAGCATCGGATGCTCGTTCCGAACTGGAAGATACCATTTTATATCTCCGCTTGCGCTATGGCCATGATCACCGTTTGCTCCTCAATGCTATAGGATCTTCGCTTCATGTCCCCATACGTCGGTACATAATCGGGCGTATAGTGGTCTCAACGAGAAAGTCCTTGAGTAGCTGCCGCGCAAGTGAGTGAATGGAGAGATGATGTGCGTGTCTCTATACCCTACGATGTAATGCCCTTTTGCCCTGTGCGCTAAGTATGGCCTGTAGCCCACGACGGACCTTCCGATTCCGACTTCGGCCAACGACGCGCCGGCGGCATGAAGGCAAGCGCATGCCGCGCTGATATGTCGAGAGCACTTGCACCCACACGGACGTCTTTAGGAAGCACTTTGGCATACTGCACGCAGGGTCGTATACTTAAGGCGATCGTCGGGCATCTTCGGCCACCTCATTCGTGGCGATGGCGACGCGTGCTATGGATCTCATAAGGGCGTATATGCGCAGAGATGAAGGCCCTACGCGACTTGTAGCGCGGTGAACAACTGGAGCGCAGCATATAGCGCAGCCACGGCAACAGACACGCCGATGCGACCGGGCCACCCGAGTCGAGCCCGGTGATCTTCTAACTCGGCACAGACGACAACGTGTGCTGGTGGGTTCGGGCTGATATCGTCGCTTCCTATGTAGTGGTTCGGCACTAGCGCGTATACTCCAAGAATGGACGCTCAGCTTTATCAGAAACCGTACGCAACTTCGAACGGGCGTGTCCAAATCAGGTGAATGTGTAAACAATTGAATACACTGACGGGGAAGCGCAATAAATCGAATTAAATTGCGCATAGGTCACAAGCTTGGCGTGATACGGAGGTTTATTCCGCCCCGAGCTATCTTAGTATGTACATGTTCTGTGCGGACACCAGTTGGGCGCGAAGTCGTGGATCTAAGGAAATCGATAGTTGGACGAACGCGAATTAGGAAGTACATAACTCACGTTGGGGTGGGCCGATCGGAAAGTCGCGAGATCTATCCGGGGTGGAAGGAAGTACCTGAACCCAACCGGGAGCATCTTCCCCGCACACTCGCATCCCCCGGACTCTGCCACACGCGCGGGACACAGGGATGTTCTCTACGGTCGTGTACATGCGACCTCCATCCAATGAGCCTGTTTCTCGGGCCGGGAAGAGTACTCAGATGCTCCCGTCCGAGTCGGTTATAAGCCTGAGCTCAGATCGCACCTGGAAAACAGAGGCATTTCCCGCCTCCTAAGTCCCTACCTCCTAGCTTCCCCTTGCTATGTCCTCCTCCCCGAAGACAGTTGTCCTCATCACTGGCTGTGCCGGTTGGCTAGGTGGCCTGGTAGGCGAACTATCCAACCCTCGATCTTGATTGGCATCCCTTACCCGCTCTGGCAGCTCATTCACCAACTACTCGCCGACCCCGAGACGCCGAACTGCCATTTCATTCTCGCAGACGTCGTCGAGCCCAAGGCCCCTCAGAATGCGCCAGCCATAACATTCAAGGCCGATCTTACAGTAAAGGAAGAGATCGACAAGCTGTTCGAGACAGAGTACGGCACGCCAGCCGTTATCTACGCTCTACACGGAATCATGTCTCGGGGTTCGGAGGACGACTTTGACCATGGCATCAAGGTGCGGCTGTCAAATGCTTGTGAGGAAAGGTCACTGGCGGACTAACGCTGTGGTGGCGGCCTAGGTCAACGTCGATTCAATGCGGCTTCTCCTAGACAAGGCACGTCACGAAGGCGCCAAAGCAGGCAAGCTCATTCGATACATCTTCGCATCGTCACTAGCAGTGTATGGCGGGCCCCTGGTGCGTCTCATCCATGTGTTAGGTCAGGATACAGGATACTGACCTGTAGCACTCTTCTATAGCCCGACGTCGTTACCCCACTGACCATTGCTACGCCTGAAGGCGCGTACGGAATGGGAAAACTGTCGACTGAGCTGTTCATCAACGAATACTCGCGCCGAGGCTTTGTGGACGGCATTATCATGCGGCTCCCGACCATCGTGGTGCGCCCTGGCGTGCCGTCCAACGCAACATCAGCCTTTATCTCCGGTATGTATTTGCGTGTGTTCATGCGTCCCAGTACCTCATTATAAGCGCCGTCAAGGTATCATACGCGAGCCGCTCAAGGGTATCGAGGCTACTTGCCCCATAGGCGACTCGTATGATTCGCCCGAGCTCGACAAGCTCAGGGCATGGTTGGCATCACCCGAGACGACAATACGGAACTTCGTCAGAGCCTCACACGTCCCGGCCGAGAGCCTTCTACCGCACACGCGTGTGATCTGCCTACCGGGCTTTACCGCTAGCGTGCGCGATGAGCTCAACGCACTGCGCGAAGTGGCCGGCGAAGAGGCGCTCAAGCTGGTGAGGTTCGAAGACAACCCGACGAACCGCAGGATCGTGTCGTCGTGGCCGGCGGCGTTTGACAACTCCTACCCGCTCAGCCTCGGCTTCGTGGCCGACGAGGGCGGCATGGTGCCCGTCGTCCGCCAGTTCAAGAAGGACGTTGAGGCTGGAATCGCATAGTCGTACAACAAGTCTAGTCGCAATGTAGTACCACGATACCCACGGAATGAACCTACTTTCACTACGGAGTTAGTCTTACCGATGCCACACGAGCGCGCTGTATGGGTCCGTATTTGGAGGATGACCGACGCCGGCGAGCCTGATGAGAGACAACGGGGATCTAGATCTGCTTAAAGTGAGAGTTCAGGGGATGATCGGCGCGCCGGGCTGTCGGTCCCGCGCCAGTCCTCAGCCGGCGAAGGGACTGAACACAAGGTTGGGCACAGGAGTCTATACATTTCACTTGCGTTAGACCGTCATCGTCTTTCTTATTTCCCTCTTCTCCAGACGGTCCATCACTCACGTCGTGACATGTCATCCGCTTCGGGGGATTCGCCCGTGGCCGCTGGAGGTTACGCAGCTGCTCCGAACGGCCTCTCACCCGATAGTCTCAGTCCAGACAGTACTGCTACAGATCGGCCAGAATCCCATGGCGGCCAGCGTATACCACTTGGTGTGTGCTGCTCGATCTATCATACTCGATAGCTTTCTGACATTGTTCAGCCTGCCATCGTTGTCGCGCCAAACGTGGGCGGTGTACGGGTGAGAAACCCATCTGTGCACCGTGCGTGAAGGCGCAAGCGGAATGCACATGGCCCGAGGGCAGGAGGAAGAAACGAACGAGGAGGGAAATGGAAGCGGATGAACGCGCCGCTCGCGAACGCGAATCTGCATCGGCGAACATGGGCGTGCATCGAACAGTGCCGTATCCCGTGGTGGGCTCGCGCCCACAGCCGTATCCCGCCCAGATTCAACCTGCAGCGTACTCGGACCATAGTGGTTCGCCGCACGAGCACACAGTGTCTCCTATTCTACCATCACCAGCGCATTGGGTACGTTGATTATTGACTGTGAAGCAAGATCGTCTAAACCCGAACACAGGACCGGACGCGCGCCATGCAGCACAATGGTCTTCCTCCAGCATGGGTTGTACCGCAACCGCATCACCGACCGCCAACCCTCGGTGGTACTAATGGATGGCACACGGACCCGTCTTCAAGCGCCCGGCACGGTCACAGCCCTTCTTCCGAGGCTGTCGGCCCCGGGGGTCACGTACAACCGTTACCAGTGCAACCCAGCACACCTTCTGGGTATATGGCTCTCCATACTGATCCACCCACGCTGCCCAGTCATTACGCACAGTCAACATCAAGGCTGCCTAGCCCTCCCGCTGAAGACGATGCTCTGGACATTGACGGCGATCTCGAGCTCTTCTACTATCGCTTCGTGCGTGCGCTTCACTGGGCGTCGCGTTGATCTTTTCTCATGCTGCACACAGTCGGGTCGGCAAGGTTCAACAGCAGTTGCGTAAGTCACTGTTCTGCACCCTCTCGGCGCTGTCGACTAAGAAGGTTTCTGTCAGACCGGGCATCAACCGCATTTCCCTCAAACTTCAGCGGCGTGCGACATCAACAGAAGCACCTGTTCCAGATGTTCGGGAACAGCTGCAAACACCTCCGCCGCATGAAGAGATGTTTGACGTGCACGGCATGCCTTTTCCGCACGTCCACCTACCGCTGTTGGACCAATTCTTCAAAACGGCCGGTCGGTACGTTCACACTCTACGTCCCCAATATACGTATCGTGCTAATACAAATCCGGTCAGACATTTTCCCAGTGTTAATCAGCGTCGCATGCATGAACGCCTCGAAACGCAAACGATGAGCGCGTTTTTCATGAACTGTAGGGACCACATTCTCATGGATCTGCGCACGGTTTATACTAATGCCGTCCTTTACGCGCAGGTATATGCGCGATAAGTGCCAGGTGACTACCGGCGCAGACAAACCCCCGTAGAAGGTGTAGTGTTGACGGCTATTCGTAGGTTCAATCAGGGACTAGAGAACCCCGCAAAGGTTCGCAAAGAGACTTACGCTCTTTCCTCGACATGATGTTGACTTGTTCGTCAGGCGGCTCAACCGTTCATCACAAAAGCGCAAGAGCTGATCGTGCCCCTACTGCACCTCCCCACGAACGACGTTGCGACTGGCCTTTTGCTTCTTGCGTGGGCCTGCTTTGGACAGGTATGTGACCATCCTATGCGCATTCGTTGGCGGTGAGATGACTCTTGCGCAGAACTCGGATAGCGGTCTTTGGGTACGTTCACATTAGCATGCACAATCCACTATTCACGGCCTCATCCGAACGCGCAGCAATATTCTGGGTAAGTGCCACAACCTCCACCACGCACGCATGGGCGTCCGTTTACGTCTATTCTAATAGCATGGCCACCCGAATGGCTCTGGATCTCGGTATACACGAGGTACGCTCCATTCATCAAAGATTCAGACTCCGCGCCGATCTTGAACGTACCCGCAGGTATCTGAGATCTACGAGTCCTCCGCTCATGTCGTCCGCACCCGGCTCTTCTTCTGGAGCTTATTTGTGTGAGCGTCACGATGCTCATTGCTGCGTATGAACGAGAGTCTAACGGAATATTGTCTATCTTGAACAGGACGGTGTGTACACTGTACAGTAGCCAATGCGTGCACAGTCATTGAACAGCCTCACAGGATCGCATTCTCGCTTTATATACGGGGCGCCTCCCTTCCTTCCCCGAGGAAATCATTGAGATCCCATTGCCCACCGACGAAGACTTCTTCCCCGACACAGCCCGCTCGAACGAACCCGATGCCCGGAATGAGCCCGTTGAGCCCGTACCCTTCAACTACCTCGTCCGGCTCATGGTCATCTGCGGCCGGATAGCCACGGTCCTCAACGGTCGACGAGGCAGACCGCGTACACTCGCGCAAGAGGCAGAGCCCTCGGGCACGCTGAGCCATCTGCAGCAAGAGCTCGTCCAGTTCTACTCGGATCTGCCGGTGTCGCTCAAGTGGGGAGTGGATACGTTCAAGCACCAGGACGCAAGGGGACACGGGGTAAGTCAGAATCGACGATTCGAGTCTGGACGGTATCTGCGAGTGCAAGAGAGGATGCGGAAGGGAAGAGGAACGGCTGCCGCCCGTCTCCCGAGGTTGTTCTTATATTACCCCCGGACCGTCCCGGCGCGGATCTATGTACAATGGTTCCTTGTTCTTACTTCCTCCCTCCCGTTCCGGCGGCAACTTTGGCGAGTGCAGTGCCTCGAATGCCTCATGCCGCAGGCAGGCGCGCATGTTTATCGGGAAAGCCGGATTGATCATGAGGGGTATGAACGTCTCCGCGCGCGGGCCCGCACGATGCGATCTCCCCATACCCGACGGTCTGGCCGAATCTCCCTTTGTTCCCGCCCGGATAGATGTCTAAACTGCGTACCGTGCTGATCATCTTTTCCTGTACAGGGCACCTTTGTGACGCTGCACCTCTGGGCCAATGCGGTGATGGCGTTGACCTATCATACCGATCTGACGGTGAATCCTATGGGTGCGGAGACGCCATTGTCGCAGAATACGGATCGAAACCTTCAGGTTGCGCTTACGTGCGCAAGGAGCATCGTCGAGTGTGTGAGGGTGTCGGATGCGTTCGGACACAGGGCTTACGTGCGTTTCTTCATCTCTCCATAGTACGTGTGTACGAGCTGATCGCATGTTTAGGTCATAAGCCCGTTCTGCGTACAACCGATCTTCATCGCCAGGTATGTTTCCTTCCGAAGATGGAATACTTCCAATAAATGACCAGCTGTGCAGCCTGGCCTTCATCCATGATGCCAAGTCAATGGGTGTGCTTCCGCAAGAAGACTCCAAAGCGACATACTCGACGGCGAACGCCGTGCTCAAGAGCGTCGCCCAGGACAATCTGAAGGTCCTCAGCAGCGCGATGCAGCGCATGGACCACTACTGGGCCGGCATCGCGTATGTCTCCGACGTGCTGGAGCAAAAAGCAGTGAACATGGGTTACTCGATCACCGACCCGTCGATGCGCGCGAAGAGGACGTTCGTTGCGTTGAAGGATCAGGGTTTGTTGAGGCGCTTTACCGGAGGGGTAAATCTGCCGCACGATACCGCTCCGGCTACGGAGACGAGTCTGTGGACCAGTATGGCGAAGGAGATGATCGAGCAGCAACAACAACAGTCGTCCGGTACGTCTATTCATTTGCCCGTTGGAGCAGGATTGGTCCGCTAATCACTGTTCTTGCAGCCGCGGGCGTCGACCGAGATGGGATCTTGTCGGCGTATACGATTGAGAATCTGTTCGTGCAGCCGGCGGGTACCACGGAGCTCGAACAGTTCCTCGCTATGTGATGTGATGGTCTTATACACGGACCTTCCTCTCCTCCTCTCCTTGCAGTATGCCTCAGTCGCTTTCTTTGGCTCTCTTCTTGTGCTATGCGTTGTCCATGTCCTATTGCTATCTATAGGCTATCTTGTCCTCCGATATCGTACCCTGTTTGTATGTAGCATACTTCGCTCTGTAGTGTACTTGTGCACGCTAGTAATGGAATCCGCTCTGTCGTACGATTTTCTGGGAAGTGCTCGAGCTACCCATGGGGATAATCGGAGTGGCATGTCCCGAGTATCCGAGGATGTACTCCGCGAAGTCGGCGCGGGGAAGTACCATATGCGGGGTGCGGGTCACTTAGACGCTTAGGGAAAGCCGTTACACAGGCTTGTCGTATTGACCCTGTGCGCGACAGAATGTGCGAAGCACATCGGATAGTTCACCGAAAGTGCAGCTTATAAAGTTCAGCGCTAAGCTCCTACAGGTGACTCGTGGTACATGGATGGTCTTCACCTCTAGTGGCACTGCTCATCAACTACTAGCAGAGCTCAAAGCACTAATGTCGAATAGGCAGATATCATGATGGGCTCGGAACGACATGGAACGGGTCTGGCGAGATCGACGACTCCAGACCCCCGCATGGTTGGCGGAAAGCGCCTGGCATTGCTTTGGTATGGAACAGTGCAAAACATAGCATTCCCAAGCGACCATAAAGAGACCTATAATTTACAAACACGAAAGCGCACATACATCAGAATAATCATACAACGCCTCTCCTCCGTCAATTCCACGCCTCAGAGCAGGTCTTATCCGGCCTCTTGCTATTCCTTCCGGGACATCCTTCCGACCCACAATCCTGACATGCGTTCTTACAGAAGGTCCTCCCTCCTTTGCCCTTACAGTCTTTACTGCCACATTTCACACAATGTCGGATTCGTTTGGCCGGAGGCTCATATCCGCTGGTTTGAGCAAGACGTTTGAGGTCGGGTTGGAAGTAGGAGTAAGCCGGCATGGGGAGGGGAGGGGCGGAGGCCGACTGCGATGCATAGGCGAAGTAAGGCGCAGGCGCGGGTGTCGCATAGCGGTATACAGGTGCGGGTGTTGACGAAGGACGGGGTTCAGTACTAGCATCAGCCTGGTGTCGGTGTCAGCCGTAGACGAACAATCAATACGTCAAGGCTTACCTGTCCATCAAGCACCCCCTGCACGGCACGTTCGTCCGCATCCTCGTCCGTCTTGACCATTGCGCCTATTCCTGCACTGGCGCCCTCGATGGCGCCCCTCACGAGCGCGACCACGTCATCCTTGCCCAATCCGGCATTCAAAGCACCCAGTACGACGCGCCACACGGCGACCGATATTCCCACGGCACTCCAGTCCCAGCCGAACGCGTTGTGCGGCGCCGTCACGTAGAGATGCGCCTGCAACTCGCTTCGCAAAAGCTCGGGTAGACCACGCATGACGTCCGGATCTACACTGCTGAATCTCCTTCCGCCGGCGAAGGCAGCGGTGCACGTCGGAGAAGTACAATGGTACTCGCATCCGATGATGTAGAACGGCCTCCCGAAATCGTAGACCTTCAATGGTCCCGTCTTGATGTTGCCGCGATGAATGAGTGGTGTATTACAGTACGCGCATGGCACGCCTCCCACGACGAGTGGTAGGGGGTCCCAGTACAAGAACCTATGTTCCGGTGCTGGCGCATTCGTCGAGCCACTCGCAGTCATGCTGAACCATGCGGGTGAGGTAGGTAGCCAGAATGTACGGACTGCTGTATAAATGGCCGGTACGGCTGACAGTGGTTGACCCGGCGGGGGCGAATTCGCATGAACGTGCATGTGAAAAGAGTCTTCGAGACTCAAACCTGCACGCGAGGCAAGATTGGGCGATTGAAGCGCTATTACGAGTTGTTGGACGAGGGCATTGGGGTTTGTGCGTGAGAGCTCGAGCCACTCATTGGTGGTTGGCGGAGGAGGCGTTTGTACAATCGGCGCGACCGGGATGGGTGGCGCGGGAGGTACGGGAAGTGCATCATGTTCTGCAGGAGCAGGAGGAGGGTGCTGCTGTAGGGCTTGTGCGAGGGTGCTGTATGACTGCTGCCAAGTCTGCGGCGGACCGCCGGCGGGGAACTCGGTTGCCGCCGGCAAAGTCGCGATGGGTGGGGCGGAGATCGACGGCCCGGGAGGAGGCGCCTGCGAAGGTGTCCGTGGCTCGCTTGGGCTGCCGTCGTCGGGCGTAGCGAAGG